ACACACACACACACACACACACACACACACACACACACACACACACACACACACACACACACACACAAGTTATCACAAAGCAGGAAAGTGTATCTTCTGCATCCTGCTCGGTGATGTTGGAATCACTGGTAATGCTATTTGTCAGAAAAAAAAAAATATAGACAATTGTTTCCCTGCTTGACTAATGTCGATGATGGTATAATTCCACAGCCTTTTTTTTTTTTACAAACTAGACCAGCTGTCCCTCAGTCATGCCACTTTCCCTGCATTACTATGACAACACTGATAAAAAAAAAATGGCACCCCGTGTGCTGTGGGCTGCAGTCTTAGGATATGGAACAACGAAGTAAGTGATTTTATTTCTAACACGATGAGAACAAACATCCCGTGCTAAGAAATTTGAGTTGACCGGTTGATTAGTGACTCACCACAGCAGAGATGTTAATCTGGTAGATCCGTAAGTTTCCAGTTTTACTCAAGATTGTGATGAAAGCCAAGTCCACCCCAGCACTCAGGTAGAAGAGCACCGCCAAGCCGTGGTAAACAAAGTCCTGCACGAGCAGAGCAGGGGGTCACAGAGCTGGCCACCACCACACCGTTAGCTCTTTTTTCAACACCATATTTAGTTTCTCTTACAGCGGCGGCCCAACCAGGACTGCTGTTGTGACACCCGGCACCGAAGATGATCATCCACAGGAAGGTCATGACGAAGCAGAAGACGGAGACGAACATCACCCATCCCAGGGGGTTCGGTGGGGAAACGTGGGTTGATGCCACGAGGATCCAAACCAAACCACCGAACACCTGAAAGCAAAGTTCAAAGAAGGAATTCGAATCCAAGACTGCCAAATATAGGGGCTAGAATAAAGAATCTTGAATTTTATAAAGCACCTGTTGGATAAGCGGGTCCCTGGACACACAGCAGAATATGCCAAAGAGTAAAAACTGGATTCAGGAAATAATCCAACTCTAAAAATCTGCTTAGATATAGGAAACGGACACAACTACCCAGGAGACAGAGGAAACTGATCCAAAGTCAGTTTTCTCTGGCAAATGACAAACAAGGTCTGTAAAGTGACCAGTGGTAGGAAATCGTAAGAATGTGACACATTCTTTGTTGTAAGGCTCAATCCATCTCTTCATGATTGCAGTTTTTCACACCACACGAGCAAACCCCTGCCCTGACCTCCAACACATGGCAGCAAACACAAACCGTAACATTTTGCTTTCAATAAAAACCCTAATAGCATGTGCAACCTGATAAGAAAGAAGAAAGTCAAACCGAGAGTGAGGTCCAGATTATGCAGCGTGTCTTTTGTTAATATTCAACACTGCTGTGGCTACAGCTAATTCAACCCAAAGCGCCTTCTTTGAAATTCTACCCTTTTATTGTACTTTACTGTGACATAATGAAACTAAACGTCTCAGAAAAGCTGAAGTCCATTAACAGCATGAATATCCCAGAATATCAGGCATCTTTGCAAATGTGTCTAATAAGTTCAGGTACAGAAGCACCAGGTAAAAATACATTGCATTAATATCTCTATAATGTATATTTGCAATTTACGAATCTACTTTCTCAGTCTATAATCTATCTTATCTTTAGTTGTTCTAAATTTCTGCAGTCAGGCTCCGAAATTACTTTCCTTTTTATTCTTTCATCTAAGAAGTGGTGAAAATTCTGTTATTCTATTTTGAAACATAGTTTTAGTGCTAATTCAAGTTACAAAACTAAAAAAGGATGAATTTTTCAATAGAAATGTAGGTTTCAAAGCACTTTCCGCCACTAAGAGAGCATTGTGTGAAACCCTAAATACATGACTCACTTATGCACAGAACAAGCCCCAGTGAATAAACACGAAACTGAAATCTTATCACTCACATCGTATAAAATAAAAGATAAAAACAAGTCTGACACAGTTTGCAAATAATGAATCAAATGCAACAGAGGCGTTGTCCCTCTCACTATTGACTTAACAAATATGGCTCTTTTTCTTCGGAGTGGGTGGAATTCAGATGCCCAGGTAACGAAACTCCTAAAAGGTTCAGTTTTTACTTAACACACTTGAATTCTTTGTCTAAAGTGCGTTTTAGCCAAATGACTACTGTGCAAAGCATTGGAGCAAAGTGCACAATGACAGCATTTATGCCTGTTTAACTGCTCAGTGCAGTACTGGCTTTTAAGGAGAATTAATTATCAGTGCTAATTTGAGAACCTTTTTCAATTCAGTGAATCTGCTTGACACCTTGTCACAGAGAAGAAATTCCATTATTTTTTCAATTTCCCACTCACAGTACAAGCGATAAGGCAATCAATTTCTAAGTGTGACCACACTGTGGACATACAAAAAAATGTATAGCTGGAATATTATCTTCCACATTTTTAGCCCCATTGTCCCTGTGGGCAGAGATATATAATGTTACCAAAAAAGGGAAGGACAAAGTTAGCAACAGGCTGGTTCAAATTCACATGCTTTCATTTGGACAGTTAGTTACAGATATGGTGGACTATAAGGGAAGTCCAAAGGTGTTTCTTATTTCTTATGTGAGAATGCAAACACTTATATGAGTATTCTGATCCTTTAAACCCATTCATAGGTAAATAAACTGAGCCAAAGGCTAAATTAGGTAAATTCCTGCATCATTCCAGGCTTCTCATGGAACTAAACACTCCCTTTTGGAGTTTTTTATTTTTTGCGACATACTAATTTGATCTTGGCCATCATTTATATTTATAGATAACTGAAGCCATCATCCTGCCAAAGTCCTGAATCCTGAAGGAGACCGGTACTGCTTTTTTAGTTAATAAAAAGTTGTATAAGTTAATATAAGCTGTTCATGCTGTCAACGTATACATTTCAGTTTAAGGCTCAAAATGGCTGACAAATAATTGATTCTGTCATGTTTACTATAACGCAGCGTTTCAACCTGTTCTCAGCTGTTTTAATGGCAGCGGTTCTAGAAACTGAATGTACAGCTGCAAGCCATCCCACACAAGGCGAGTAGGCCATAAACATTAGCACACGGGGGACTGAAACAAAAGGAATGTACCCCCGAAATGTTCTAATTGATCATATAATGAGTAAATACAGCTGAAACCACAGTGCAAAGGCTGTTTGCCTGTATCAGTTGCATTTTGTTTGCAGGAATAATGTAAAAAGAGGAGTGCTACCTCCCTTTGCAGTGAGGATTTTACGATTATAATCTGGCTTCTTACTTTGTATTAACACTCTCATGTAATACCTGCCGTCAAGCACAGAAAATTGTAGATGTTATATGCAATAGAGCACAGTGAGGTCTGTGGGGTCACAACCTGGCGCTATTTATTGCTGAATTTTTGTAATCCTGGTGTCGATTTTTATGCCATAATGATAGAAACACAGAATACCTCACAGATAACACAACAAATTCAGCTCTTGTGGACTTTTGCATTGTATTGTCCAACAACAGGTGATCATCTCTTCTCATCCGGGCCAAAACACAAAACAAATATGGTATCGAAAACACAAAGACATCTTTATCTGCGCAGATAGCTTTTTCTGGGGGGTTATATGAGCAGCTTCTGCTTTTTTGTTATCATTCAGGGAGAAGAAGAGTTGACCGCATTCTTTCCTAGACTAGAAGCAGAGACACAATATGGGGGAAATATGAGAGGTGAACAGATGAAGGTGCACCTCCCACATGAGGAATATGCTTCACAAACACTACCCCTTTCTCCTCCACATTTCAATATTACTATACCATACTTACTATACTTCCATATTGTATTATTAATTACAATTTGCTGCGTCATTGAGAATGGGTGACTTGTTTTATCTATGCCGTTTGGTTCAAATAGTCTAACTGATTGTTATATTGTTGTATAAAGAAATAACAGCAATTTTAAAATCACAAATGACACGCTTAAAAAGCAGCATTAAGAGGATTAATTAATCACTCAAAGAAATGTGCCTTCGTGATCATTGCACTTACCAGTTCGGGCAGGTAAAAAATATCAGGGGCTGTAGTACATATCCCCAAGCCGCTCGGCAGGCTCCCTATCGATTGAGCAGAAGTTGCAGCCATCTCTGCTTGATGCTTGTCCAAGTAGTGCCGAGTGGACCCTGAGCGCACAGCCTGCCCTGTCCTCTAAACTGAGGAGCAGCTTCAGGTGTAACTGACCCTTATAGGACGGCCGGCTGAGCAGACAAACCCATTGTGGGTGTGGGATCCCTTCCCACGACGGCTTCTTGCTCTGAGACAAACCAGACACACCCTTCTCCTTACAATCAGCCTGGGGCTGCACAAATGTGAGCCGGTGGCCTGTGACAGGCTTTTCCATGAACCAGAGAAAGGAATTTTATGGCCACAGGCTACAGTGACTGCTGATTGGCTTAGATATGGTCATTATTCCCACAGCCCACCAGGTTTTCAGCTAATGCTAAGTTTAAGATTTTTACCAGGTTGAGTGACTGTAAAACTGCATTAGTGTTGCATGAACAGGCTTCAATGTGAGTTTCTTTTCAAAATGAGGACGTTCATTGTACGTTTTTGACTTCTCCTTTAGACTTTCTTTTTAACTGACTTTTTCTGAGTAAAAATCTAATCATCTGGCTTATGAAGAGTAAATGTGTTATCCCTAAGGCTTAAAAAAAGCTGTTTTCACTATGAATGATACTTTTTTGATGAATCTGCGGTTCCATGCTTGAACACTAGAGGCATCTTATTATTCTGATATGATCAAAAGTCTGATGGCATAAAATACAGTACCTTGAATGATTAGTTTTTTTTAAATCTTTTTAAGAATAATCTTTGTTTTAGTGAGCTCAAATGGCTCCAATTGGCTGGGAAAACAAGCAGCTCAGTTTTTGAAAGATTCAGTTGGGAGTGATGGACTTTCATCCACTTTCATATGTCATATGTCATGTCAGTGTAATATTTTGGAAAAACATAATATGCTCAATTTTGAAAACTTTATTCCTTATAAAAATAGTTGTTTAATTTTACAAAGTTCTGAATGGATTAGCCCCACCTCCACTTTCTACCTACATTAGACCCGGCAGACGTATTCGCACCAGAGTCTCTTCCAGAGGAGACCTAGAAACCCCCCACAGAAGAACAACCTTTGGACAAACCGTTCTATCAGTCAGAGGGGGTCACTTCTGGAACAGCCTCCCAACAAACATCAGGGAATGTCCCACTTTTTGCACATTTAAAAAGCACCTTAAACAGTTTCTTAAAAGTTCTCAGTCATGCACTTACTCATTTTATTATTGTAATGTCATTGTCTGAACGTGTGTCTTGACTGATATTGTATTATGTGATTTTGTGTTGTTTTGTCTTCCTGCCTCAGGACGACAGATGTAAATTAGCAACTATGCTAGAATCTGGCAGATTACCTTAGGGATATGATGTCATTGATATAACCCACACAAAGTCTATCCAACATCTGGAGCTTTTGAAAGAGTTTGAAACTGTGTAAATGGTCCGAAGCCTGAACTCAAATCAGTGGTTTAATTAGTTATTGTCAATCAGAAACTTTCTTTATTTCACATTTAATCAAAACAGATTCACTTCAAATAAGGTGTATTCTGAATGAAAAACTCATAATCATAACAACTTTGCCTTTCTCCTTCAGAAAACAAGAAATTATGAAGTAACATAATACAAGTTTAGGGTCAATATGGTGTCCGATGTTCAGTCTGTAATAGTGTGTTACATACATTTACTTTGGGTAAAAAATAAAGAAAGAAAGAAAGAAATTAAATGAAAACAACTTTTTGAAGCAAAGTTGATTTGTGTTTAGTTCAATGACAAGCTAAATTCCTGTGCGGTGGACTGTTCTGTCTCAGGACCTCTTCCATCGAATGGCAGAGAAAATGGCGTGCAGGAAGTAGAGGAGAGTGGCCACGTAGGACATAACCTAAAAACAGGACAGGTTATGGTCAGGTGAGTTTAGGACATGGTGGTTTATAAAACATGAACAAAAGCATTTTGACGTACCACTGCGGCTATGTCCAGTCGGTAGATTTTAAGGTTTTCTGGAAGATTAAAAAATGGCAGAGCCTGGCCTGTAATAATGGTCATGTAGGCCAGATCCACAGACGCACTGAGGTAGAAAACCACAGCCAAAAAATGAAATCCTACATCCTGAAAGAGGATAGATGGGACATGTTGCAGGGGTTAGAGAAAAAGAGAAAAGAAAAAAGGAGGGAAACAAACGTGCAAAACAGATTGGTGATTCAGAACTGTGAACCCTGTCTTCCTTGATTCTTTGTACTTTCTTTTTAAAGCATTTTTTTTTGTGTTCAAACTATGCAGAATTTTTCAAACTGTGACACAAATAATGATGATTCAATGATAAGGCTTTGGGGAATGTCACATGTAAAACAAAATTAACTTGATTTGCTAAATATAAGCAACACAAGGGGGTCAAAAAGGGCGGAAAAATCTACAAAATCTACTCCTCAAATTCTGTCTTTCTCTCAGCGATGACAAAAGTCTTCATGTTTAAGTGCATGAATGTTATTTCTTTCATTTGCCAACACAGGGCTGCATTTTCATATGGACGTGACTTAGTTGATCTGGTTAACACATCATTAAGTGATGGGTGTGTCTCTCACCAGTGATGGCCAGATGCTGGCCTGATTCCCTCCACAGAGGAAGATGAAGAACCAGAGAGTCGTCCCCACGAAACAAAAGACGGACACGAACATCACCCAGCCCAAGGGGTTTGGCGGTGTCACCAAAGTTGATGCCACCAGGATCCAAACTAGTCCTCCAAACACCTGCATGGTCCAACAGAAGGGGGGGGTGTAAATCTGATGCCTTAGCCTTTGTGACACAGAGAGACAGTTGAAATAATTGTATTCTAATGATCTTTAGGGAAAGATTTGTATTCATTTTGACAGGAAAAAAGCCACATTCTCCATTATGACTCAGGGTCTGAACAGCTCCATTATTTCTGAAAAGCAAGAGCTCTCCTCTGTTCATTCTATGGTCTTTTCCAAATGTTTGCGGACACAGATTTATTAGACTTCAAAAAGCTTTTCTGGAGCTCTGCATGAGAGCACAAACGTTTGTACACAGCAAGTAATACCAACCTCTTGTGTATGGTCTCAGCTTCACTCCTCTTTGACAAACATCAAGCACAGGAGAATATAAAGAGAGAACTTAACTTTAGGATTTGCTATTGCCATTGTGCAAAGCTCTTTGTCACAATTCATCATCCAAACAGGTAACATATCATGCATGCCTAATTGGTCATCCTGTCACAATCATCATTAAACTGAATTCAGATACTCCAGCTATAACTGGCAAAATTGTTACTTTTTTATTCCTCTGAAACCAAATTTTAATCGGTTGTTTAAATCAGCTGAGCAGTCCATTGAAGATCTAAAAACTATTTCTTTTTTGTTTGTGCCCAGAATCCTATCTGTCACACTATTATGGGCTGTGTATAATAATATATATATATTTCACCCCATATGATAGTCTTTTAAATCGATTAACATAGATTTTTAGCTTGAAGTTTTTTGTTTCTTTTCTGTAAGTAGTCAAACAAGATAAGTGGACTTGTTTTTTTCATTTCTTTTTGTTATCCTAGCTGTGTACATAAAGTTGTGCGAGCCAAAGTTAAGCATATCCGTATATATGCTTAACTTATCCATATAAAATAAATGATAATCGAGTGAAGATTGTCATGACAGGTTCACCTCCCCCTTTGACTTGAAAGAATTCCCTTCCCTTGAAGGTGGAATGTCACCATTATGAAATTGTCTTGTCAGACAGTGATCAAGCAGAATGAAACATGAAGCTAAAGAACAGAAAAGATAACAAGTTACTGTGCACATTAGTACACTTCCATTACATTGCAAACATCCCTGTAAACGATCTCATGAAGTGATGGTGGCACAAAACACACAAGCCTTATTGTCATATCTTTGCATTTTTGCCATACGACCCAGTTGATCAGATCACATTCATCTAAATGGCACTATTCCTATTTAATGCCTCACGAGAAAAACTTAAGTTCGTGGTCCAGTTCGTTCGTTTTGAGTCTTCTTCAAGACATAGTCTTCCACATAGTGCACACTGATTTAAAAATAAATAAGTGTTCATTTACCGACAACATATTTATTCACCTCTAAACTATATATACATATATCCCAAACAAATATGGATTCATCAGAGCAAAAGATCTCCAAGTTCTTAATTTAACAGGCCATTAAGTCCTTTTTTTTTATGTCTGGTCTCCGTAGAAACTCAGTTATGTTTCTCCACCTCTCCAAACCAGAGCAGTGCGGTAGTCACGGTTGAAGGTGGTGACACTGCAGTGTACTCAGTCAAAAGCGTAAGACCAGCCCACACGAAAAGGACACTAACAGTTTCAGTGGTTTCTCAGAGACCATTTTAAACATACAAAAAGAAAACAATCAAAATGGAAACCACAAGAGCAGTGGGTGATGTCATGGTGAATCAAAGCTATTGTCCGCCACTCTGAACTTGCTTTGTTTGCCTTTTCTTCAGTTTCCCGCTAAGAAAAATAGCGCTAGTCATTAATCCTCCTCGTTTCTTTATTTTACTGATTGTTTGATGATGAATTGCACATTAAGGTCTGTACATTTCCATTCCTTCACTGTAAGTTATTCATTGCAAAAGTGTCAACAATGAGTAAAACATGGGCCCTGATGGCAGGTTTAGATTTACACCTTGCTCTGCAATTATATCTGTGCACCACAGCGGTTTTTCCACCCATTTCACAAAGATTTAATCTTCCATCTTAACCACGCGAAGAGAAGCCTTTAAGGTTTATTTGCACTTTTGGTGACCAGTTCAACTGTAGCTACAAAATATAAAATAAAATAAAAAAAGGTTTTTCTGTTTTTATTAAGTTTTGTAAGAATTTCTAAAAAGTAGCATCTATTTCTAATAATATGCATGCTTTTGCGAAATCTGTTAATTTTATAAAAAAAAAACACATAGAAGATTCAATCTTTGTAAAAGAATTTCCCAAAAGGGAAATAATTTCCTGCAAGGGAATAATAGAGTAATTCTGATTCTGATTCTGAAATAAATGTGTATTCTGGTCTGTGAGAAGCTGGAAAATGATTTACTATAAATATTGTTCGCTATCAGGGTTGTTTTTTTTTGGTGCAAATTGACTGGCATGATGTTTACTGTTGGTATGGAAACCTGTTTCATAAACAATCTGTCCTTCAACAACAGCTGCCAGTATGACCTCAACAGTTTGCAAAGGAAGCCCGTGAACCTTTTCTCAATCATGAATCGAAACAAAAATAATATATCTTGGCATCGTCATTATTTGGTTTCGTCCGGTCAACTTAGACACACAAATGCAATCTTTCCCGTTAATCTTCACAGTTGGTTAGCCACTCTCTTTACTTTGAGTTGGCTCCACTGATCAAACACCATGAACCACCTTCGGGTGACAGATTCCTATCTGAATGGAGAGTCAAAAGAGGCAAAAAAGTAAGAAAATTGCATCACAGAATAATGGCTCAGATGAATACGAATGCATTGAAGGCAACATGCAAGTAAAAAGGCAAATATTAGAAGAAGAGTTATTAGAAGAGACTTGGAGATAATGAAATAGATAAGCAGAGAAATCTCTGATAAAAAATCACCAAAAAGGGAACTCACAAACTCAGGGAGAAAGAAGATGTCTGGCACGGTGGTGAAGATCCTGCCACCTGTAGGTAGAACATCCCCGGATGTGGTGGAAGCCATAGTCCAAACCTCAGTGTGTCTATGGTTGAGCGATTTCCTCTAGAATGAAATGCTAAACTTGTTTGAATTTGCTTTTTAATGGCATAGGCTGTCCTTCTCTCCTCATCCCTCTCCTGCACCTCCCTCTGTTTCTCCTCCTCTAAACATTTCCATCTATTCCCAAATAACCAGTTCGACAGGTGCTTTTTGGCTTTGTTTGTGCAACAGCAGTGTGTTGCGAGAGTGCTTGAGTGTGCAGATTCCATGTGTGTGTGCGGATATCTTTGTGTTTATTTGTATATTAGTTTTTTAGAAATGGCAACTAACCAATTGACAGGTGAAAAAAATTAGCATCTTTTTCATTGATATTTTAGCTGATCACGTCTTTTTATGTGTTTTGCGATCAAGAGGGAAGTGCTGAGGACCAACGTATTCCAGAAATTAGAAAATAAACAAAACCTCTGTTCCTAAAAAATGGAAGATGATAACCATTCTCCACATGGGCATTAAGGAGCTCAGATGAACCTGAATGCTCTTTCTGCCATGGTTAGTTGAAACTTTGGATTTCGGTGGGGTTAAAAAAACTATTGTAAATCCTACTGCCCTGCATCACTGTCCAGGTGTAAACCAAAAAGGTTTCCCTAGTTACCACTACTGCTGGAAAAGCTGTGCTGCAAAGCATTCAGCGACAGGGTCATTTTCATTTCCCCACTTGGTCCTTCACTTAAACAACTCTAATTGGATTTGGACAGCCGAAGGATAAGCTATCCACAAAAAGCCCCGATCAAAAAATAAGAAACGGTCTCAGAAAGCACAAATACACAATGAGAGCATACAAACGCCTCACAGTAAGGCCTCCAGCCTGGAACCTTTTTATTGTCAGGTGACGGAGCCCACTTGGAATTTCACGTGTTTGTCTAGTATCAGTTAAAGCGGCACTTTATTTGATGAGCACTCCGCTGAAACTGAAACATTAACAGCTGAAATGCAGCCAGCAGGAAGCACAGAAGCACAGTCCATCTGATGTGTCCATGTAAATATTAACGTCAATGTTAATGTAAATGTTTATGTAAATGCTGAAATAAATGCAAATGCACCTTTGCAAAGAATAAACCTCCGAACACGGGGAGGCTGACGGGTCACTAATGAAGTCTAAAATTAAACAAAACAAAAATATTGCAGGAGTTGCTGGTCCACCTGCCAACGATCAACACATGTTCAAACCAGGGCACAAAAGGGGTACCAATTGATATTTCTAAATAGAGGCAAAAGCCCCTAAACGTACAAATCCCATCAAGCTGTCAGATTTGTGGGAAAAAAAACTACTTTGCTTATACTGTAAAATGTAGAGTGTTGGTTTCCGGGCAAAACAATTAAATCCCTGCACCGGATACAAACGCTGTTGCGTAGGATACCATCCCCATGCCTTTCTGGGGGAAAAATTGATGACAAGATCCTTAAATCTTTTATGATGTTCTGAAAAGGAGAATCCTTAAACTACAATTCAATCTGAAAGTATTTACAATACACAAGAAAGTATAAAAAACAATGGGCCTGTTGATTGGGATTACATGTCATTTTAGAATTGGGTAATTTCTTTTTTTATTACAATCATGCTGTAATCATCCATCTTTTGTCATGGTGAAAGACCTCGTAGTTGAATTTCTCCGAAAAAGAGGGTGGCATCTTTTCTTTATATGACGATGACAGACCGACTTTATTCCCCTCATGATTTAGCACGGTGGAGTGAGTCACTCTGTAAGAGCGGCTTTCCTACTTTCAAAGTGCAAGCCCTCCATTTCAGCAAGAGCAACTGGCTTTGTTCTGCTGGTACTGACACACCCTGAGTCAACTTGTTCATGAGGGCATTTAAGTGTGTTTGGAGACCTTCCTCTGTTGCTACAGAACTTAAGGTCAGCCACACCAACAGGTGAACACGGAAGAAGGGTTATAATAATGAGATCCTGTCAAACTGAGATGGCGGCACAGAGCCCCCGGTTCACAAGGTGACAACAGTTGTTGTTTCAACAAGCAACCGGGAGGCATGTTAGCAGTGAAAGTTGTTTCATTCTAATTCTGAGGGTTAGGGTTAGGGTCAAAGAGAGAGCTTGACAGGCTAAAAAACTTGATAGAGACTTAAAATTAGAGACTTGAGAAAAAAAAACATTCCTGGTATGGAATAATTGGGCGGACTGACTGTAAATTGGCCTGAAACCTTATCGATGAACAGATGTAGAAAGGTTTAAATGGATGAAAAGATAATGTCTGTAAACTTCTTGAAAAATTAGGAAAAAGGGATGTAGGAAGTGATCGTTTCCACTTTCAAATAGGCTTGTTCTGCCCTGTCGGTAGAATAAAGTTGGCCTGCTCATAGTGGACCATGGACGCATACTAAACTTACAGTTTTCTTTGAAGATGCACATTTGTCTGGTTCTTGGGCTTTTTCTCCCTCTGGACCATAGTATCTCTTGGCATTAAGATGTTAACCTTCACAAATACAGAAAATACTGCGTAATTACAGATGCTACAAGAAGATTAATTCCAACGAACAACCATTTCTACAGCAAACATTTTTACCAAACAAGCTTGTAAACTGTGGAATGTTAAAAGCTTTGTTCAGTCTTGACAATTAAATGTAAAACTGTCCTGCGCTTGTCTTTAACCCCAAACAACACACACAACAAACCGGGCAGTGTTTAGAGACACACCTCTTACTAGCTCCTTGGTTTTGGATCTAGTTACAGGAAACACACACACATACACACACACACACACCCACACAAACACACACACACATGCACACAGACTTCCATGGGAACCACTACAAGCTCCAGAAATACAAATGATATGTCAGTGTTGGGTCTCGCTGCACGCTGTAACACATGTAACAGCTTTGGTCAAGAGTGTGTTCCGTTTTGAGTTCCGAAAAAAAACTAACCAAATTATTTTGAAACATGTAAATAGGCTTGTTAATATTTATATAAAGACTGCATCCAGAATGCCCCCCCCACTGCACATAAATTCCAGGGGCTAAGCCCTTTTTTCTGCACATGCCTGCTGTTCTGAATCAAGTGAGCTGTTTGGGGGAAAAGGGGGGCAGCCATTTTATGTTCTTATATGAAAGCTGCAAGGGGTGGGGGGTGGGGGGGGGGGCGGATTGCAGTGTCCCCTTCACAACGGATCCCAGTTTAAATCCCAGCCCTGGGCCACTCTGTGTGGAGTTTGCATGCCCTCCCCTGTGTGGGCGTGGGTTCTCTCTGGGTGCTCCAGTTTCCTCCAACAGTCCAAAAACATGCATGGGAGGTTTACTGAAGATTCTAGAATGTCTGAGGAGGTGAGTTTGTGTGGTCACTGTCTGTCTCCTTGTCTCTGTGAAGCCCTGTGATTGTGCCCTGTCCAGCTTATACTCCACCTGTTGTCCAATTAGAGCTGCTCTCAACAACTATCAATCTCGAATGACTGAGCTCTTCGCTTCTATGTTGAAATTCATCGAATTTCCATTTTAAAAATGAAAATCGAATTATTGTTTTTTTTTCTAATGGATCAGGTAAAAGTCATTCAGATCATGCACGCACTCATTAAAAAATGTTTTGACTGGACACACGGGATCTTTATTCACACTGGGAAAAATGTAAATTTGATTCACACGCAGGGACACACACTTATCTCATTAACAACACCACCACTGAATAATAATAATCTGACTTTTCTTTTTGGCCCACATGATATCAAAAGACAAGTTCTGATTGGTGACCATTATCTACCCCATATCAATACCGTAATCATTACATATCAACAATATATTCAACGTGTGAGATTTAATAGGATGCCAGTGTTTTCACAAAGTTTTATGCGTCTGTTTTTTAATAAAAACCTTCCTTAACATTTATGAGTGTTAGCTCGCCTCTGCCTTATTTCCAGCATATTTCCAGCATTTAACTAGTCACTAGAAATAATTTCCTACTCAAGGCTCCCTCCCTTCTTCATCTTCCCCCTTCTAACACACAATGGTTGTCCTGGGGCACAAAGAGAACTGGGTGGGAAAGTCTCAACGTTACTAGGTCATAATTGTCCTGTCTCCAATCAGATTTCCGGCCTGCTCTAAAGTATCTCTCCTCGGATCAGAATCAAACATTGAATGATGTGCTGTGAGGCTGCATCTCAAAAATTTGACTTGTTGTGAATCCATTTCCTTTATCCATTCAGTTCTGCTGCTCACACCAACTTCCATGCTCCTCCTCTGGGTCTTAAAGAGGACTCAAATTATTTTTCATCAAGTGAAAACATTTTAAGTATGAAAATATGCAGCAGTCAAATAAATAAAAGACTTCATTCCCAAACATATATTAGATTTATAATGCTGAGCATCATATCATTGGACATGAAACATATAGATGTATAAGCTAGATGGATACAACCTTATTTGAATTATTCAGAAAGCACCATGAATGAAGGAACCTGCAACTATGAAAAGTATAAACAGAGTAGTCAAACTCAACTTATTAGTCTTTCATGGTATTTTTAGAATTGCAAACAAAATCAGCAGAGACCGACGCCACAGAAAGGCAAATGGCAAAGTCTAGCTGCTCCGGTATTACACTTGTCAGCTTACACTCTTCTCACACTCCATTTCCATGAGGGGTCACTTTTCCCATCAGGAGTTTTACCTTAAAGGCTCAAAGTATGGATCGAGAATTCTGAAAATCCTGTCTGAGCAAGTTGGTGCAGAAATCATTGCAATTTTACACTAAGATGTCACTGTCCCTGTCACCACGGGCAGTATACAGTCACCATGGCAACAGCACTGGAATGTGGAAATACTGGATGTGGAATATGATTCACCTGCAAACTCTGAACCACATAAAGACTTAGAAACTACTTCAGGCTCTGGGCTGCAGAGATGGGGGGGTATAATTATAGGTGAGGACACTTTAGCCTCTCATCTAATGAAAAAAAGTCTGGTTGAAATTCTGCATTAAATATGTTAATAGGAAATTTTAAAGTGAAGGAAGTTAAGGGGACGCTACAGAGTATGGATGATTTTAGTTGAACCGCTTATTAAATACAAATATGTGAACCAGTTCAGAATAAAGCTTTTTTTTAGCATGGTTCGGAATAAAACACTTGATATGAGAAAAATGTAAATTGCACAACTTTCACGCTTTTTTTTTCCATTGAGCACCGGGTTGTGTTTCAGGAACAGGAGGAGAACAAGTAGTTTAACTATCTTGGAACATTTACATTACAATGGAAATAGTGTATATCTGTGTTTATTTAGGGCGAAATGTCTGTTGTTTTGTCAAACAAATTATACAATTAATGAAAAGGTGAAATAACTTTAAACATGCTGAGAATGTGAAACCACAATCCATCTGACCCAGCCTTCTGCTGCTCCTGTTCTTTTATACCAGGCTAAAAAAAAAACCCGCAGCCAACTAATTATTAACCCCTTCCCACTCCTCTGCTGTAACTCTACACCACACTACCTCAAACAATACTTGATGTTGAACTAATGGGTGGAGATGACTGGTTGGGTGAAAAATCAGCCTGTGTAAAATCAGCTTCAGGCTTATTACAAAACTGTGATGAACCAAGCAAATAATGTTATTTTTACAGAAAATCTAAAAAGAGCATAATGCTATTTATTAATACAGCAATGAATCAAAACAAATAAACCGTTTTTGAGTCACAATCAACGTGTGAACAAAGTAAACGGACGGGTTGCAGTGGATGTTCTCTGACTCAATGAATATTTGTCAGCAAAAGAAAAACTCTGACAGTTACAGTTATTGCAACATCCTGAGGAATTAGCTGGTTTGTATTCAACAAAGTCCTTACCTCTACTTGAACCATTGCTCTGAGCACATGAGCACAATGAGATACATCTTATAAAATAAAGCCAACTTAAGATTTTTTTTAAATGTATTTAAGCTGTCATTGTCTTAAATGAAAAGCGATCAAATGGCACTTTTGCTGTGACGGGTGCAGTTTCCTTCAGCGTGACGCACGGAGGAGATCGAAGGTCAGTTCTGTCACGTCGAAACCCAGATGTGAATGCACTGGGTCAAAAAACATATCCAGGCCTCCCGACTGGCCGCTGGTGCGTTGGTGGGTTTTGAGAGCCTCGAGGTTGGAGAAGATGACTCTGGCCCTCTGCTCCTCTGAGGAGGGGTCTGCCCAGCGATAGTCTGGCAACGAGGCAGAGTGGAGGAGGAAATAGACGGACGACATGTAGACTTTGATAAACTCCTGTTTTAGATATGGAAGGTCTCTCTGCAAAGACACAGAGCCAACAATGGTTCATATTCCCTCACGGAAAAGCCACTTGATTACTCATGCTGGCAGCATCCTCTGTGGGCCTCTGCTGCTATTACACACACGGTTTTGATAGCAGACTTTCAGTAATATACGTAGGTTAGATAAGCGGTTATGATAATGGATGGATGGATGGATGTCCTAAAACCTGAATGAAACGGTAAAGATGCAAACCTTTTGTGCCCTGCTCATGTTGGTCTCAGCCTCCAGCCAGGCACTCTGAAAGAAAACCACTGCATGAGGTTGTTTTATAAATTCTGCCATCTTAAAGTCTGAATTACAGGATACTGGCTTTTAAAAAATGAAAACATTCCCAAATAAACACACAGCAGCGCAATTCAGACACAAAACTGCTCATTTTCAACACAATTAATGACAAAAAGCCCTCCTGTCTTACCCGGAGAACATCCAGCAGATCTACCTGGTCCAACAGCTCAGGAAAGGTCGAAAGTACCGGACTGCAAATAAGATCTGAGACAAAGTAAAAAAGTTTAAATAGAAGTGTTTTTTTTTTGTTTTTTTTAGAAAGAGTTTTGACTGTCAGCGGTGCAGAGGCGGAGCGTCACCTGCATCCTGCATGGTGGGCCTGTCCATCAGCAGCGTGTCGGCCAGCAGCTGCCTGTGCAGCACCAGCAGGTGGACGCAGCTCACACAGTGCAAGAGAGTGTCTGGGAGGACACTGGGGAGGAAATGTTTTTGTTGTGAAAAAACCACCCTGTGTTAACCTTGAGCTGATGCTCTCCATCAAGAATTATCCAGCCATAATGTTTCTCCCCTGATAAATAAAAAAAAGGCTAAGAGAAAAAGTATCTCTGAGCTTTAGCGGGCGAGGAAAATTGGTCATTTTCTTTAAAACATTTCTGCCTTATCTAGAAATAGGATTACTAAAGAACGTGTTTTACTGTTAAGGTTAACATTTTAAAATGATTATGATGATAAAATCTATTTAAGGATGTGTGTGAAGCAACACAATATGTAAAACCTTCTTAGGACTAAAGCAATCCTACTGGCACAAAAAAACTGAAAGAGTGTATCTGACTAAAATCTTGCAATGATTTACTGATACATCACATGATCCACTGTGTCTTTGGTTTTTCTCGCCGATCCTCCCACCTGAGCTGCGTTCTGGTCCGACTGCTGACCGACCTCAGCTTTATGATCAGTTTGGCCTGCCGTCTGGCCTGGAGCATCTGCTGGAAAACACTACCGGGAGCTGGAGGGAGGAGACACAATTCAAAGTCTTATCTTCAGTTTTCCGTGCCAAATCAGGGATTACGGGATGCCTTGTGTGCTGAATGTGCTGTCTCCTCTTACATCCTTTAAGACCAGCTGCTGCCACAGACACATCCTTCTCATAGGGAGTACCACCATTCACTGGCAGCTCGTAGGTCCTGTAAACATGGGATTAGATTTCTGAATATTGACATATTTTTCCACTTGAGCTCCTTTTCCAGACCCACTCTAGATATCCAGCATCAAGCTATAGTTTTCGTTCACTGCCCCAAGTGTTCCTGCGTGTGCACCTGTTAAGGAGTGGATTTCCAGCATCATCGCTTAATTTGAGGAAGGCCCAGCCACAGCTCAGTTCTCCTCTCTCTCCTGTTGACTAGAAAAAAAAAAGACCAGATCTGAGTGCCTTCTAAAAAAACAGTTTTTCATTTTCTGCCTTTCAATAGCAGTAGTATGGCATGTATACATTTCGTATAAAAGTGACCCCGAGTTCAAAGAGGACTCCCAGGTTAGGAGACTGAGAGTTGCAACGCAGGAAACAGTCCCCATCCAGGAGGGTAGGCAGCATGCCAGTCATCTGGACAAAACGCACAAAAGAACACACAGCTGTTACAATGTAGCTGAGTTTGAGCAAATGTTTGTAATACAGTGTTGTCAATGTAAGGAAAGTAGCTGGAGTATCCTCTTACCCTTGGAGAGAAGCTCCAGGTTTTTGGGCTCTTGGGGTTGTAGGCTGCCCGGACAGTGTGGATGTTACTCAACACCTGGAACAGAAAGGCAGCTAAGATGAGAAAAAAAAAGAATGGATTCACTAGTTTTCACGCCACAGAGACTTGAGGAGGTACGGAGGCGTGGAAGGGGAAAGGCTGTGTGTTCAGGTGAGGCAGCTCTGATACCTGAACTCCATCAAATGCACAGAGGCGGATGTGCCTGCTCAGAACCTGAACTCCAACCCCGGGAGTGGGAATCATCCTGCAGCTCCACAGAGTGAAACAAACACAAGTTCTGACCTGGCGAGCCCGAACCTGCAGGACAGGAAACTCACAAGTTCAGACAAACTTAAAGTCCTCGTCCAGAATGTACAGTATATTGGTAAGTGGCTACAAATGGCAGATCAAAACCGATGATAAACACAACGGTGTCATTACACTAACAAACTAATAAAGAAAGCCACACTCACTCTGCCACTGTCAGGGTCCAGGAAGAGGTCCTTAAAGGAGAGCTGAGATTGGCTGAGCTCAGGCTGAATATAGTGACTTCCTCGGTATGTTACACCTAAAATGGGACATGAAGGGTAAAGGGTGGCCTTTTAATCACACAGAGCCTTTAAAAGTAAATGGCAGAACTTATGGTCCTATTTCAACTGTAGTAGTTTGGGGGGGTTTTTTTATAGCTGGGGGAAAAAGAATATCAGGTATATACTACATTAAGATTAAGTTTACTTTACAAAAACCACAAACCCGGCAGCGAAAAAAACTATGGAAAAGCAGCCCTCTGTACACGCATTTCAAGGCTGGACTGGACAGATTCTACTGACCTTCTTCTACCAGCAGCTTACTGAGAGTTGATGGTCTGAATCCTGAGGGTATTGCTCCCATGGCCGAGAGCACATCTGTTGCATCAACCTGTCACACACACACAAACAGTCAATTCACACATACTCTAGAAACACTTTGTGAATTAAATATTTGTTTACAGAAAAATGGCCTTAATTACATTTTTTGTGATGAGAGTATGGAGAGTTTACCTTAGTAAGAGGCTTTCTGATGGTTGACCAGTGGGAGGTACTGCTGTAACACAATTAGAATTCAAACAAAGTGAACTGAGAGCCTTAACAAATTTAAACAGAAACTAATGCAGGAGGTGTTCTGTAAATAAACTGAAAAGTAAAAGGTTCAACCTGTGTTTTTCTTTACTGTCAACTGGCCCTTCACCATCTTCATCTTTCTCCTCTTCTGACTCTTCCTTTTCATCATCATCATCATTATCACCATCATCGTCATCTTCATCATCATCATTTTCTTCTTCGTTGTCATCTTCTTGATCAACACCAGACCCGGACTAAAACAGAGACAAGAAAATCAATGAATGAAACAGAAAGTATGTGAGCTGTGTTTTTTGTGAATGTATCTTTGTTTAAAGATTAATCAGGTCTTGTGTTGCAGTCAATGTATCCATTGTGGATAGTCAATTAAAACCAGCACTGGTTTTAATTGACTATCCACAGTCATGTTTTATAGGGTCAGAAATATTTATCCATCTTCTTCTGCTTATCCAGGGTCAGGTCGCTGATGTAAGAGGTTCAGGACATCCCTCTTCAAAGCGACACCTTATGGGTACTCTGAAGTAATGAGTGAATTCAATGCTCGTATGTGATGCACTTTTGTACCTTCAGGAAGGTTTTTGGAACCACCCCTCTGTTGCCTTTGGTGTCTTGAGCCAGCCACCATCCATCTGCTGTCTTCCTGATTATCCTTAACACCTGCCCCCTCTGAAATATACATAACTTAACATTAGTGGGGAAAAAGCACCAAACAAGAACCAAAGCAGTTAGTTCTATGATTTTTGAGTAAAACACTTGAAAATCCTATTCTAAGTCAACAGTGAACAACATTAATATGAAATGCACATTCATCTATACTAAATGATTCATATTTATTCAGAAAGACATGCCAACAGATTGACCTTGTTCAAATGAGAAGGCATGAGGATGTGTGCCATAGATCAAAGGAAAGATATGAATGGAGTTCACATATAACACTAACTTCTTTCTGTTTCTTTGCCTTTGAAAAATACATTAAGACAGTCTATTGCTGTGTTATGTTTGTATGGATACAGTGCCATCTTCTGTCTTGATAAAATAATGTTTAAAAACAAACAATGCAATTCTCAGGCTTTCAGGAGAAAATAGGTAAATGTTTCAGTAGGACTTTCTAGTTGAGGCAGGGAGGAGTTTTCTAATTAATTGTACCAGGGCTTCACATAATAAAAACCCTTTGACAAAATTAGCACCACCTCTGCATATAACCAATGACATGTAGTCTTTCTGTGGTGCCTAACAAACAAAAAAACTTCACCTGAACAGAAAGATCTCCTTCCTGCTCTCCTTTGAAATCACTCAGGACTTTGTAGATTTGCGGATCTGACTGAGATAACAACATGGCAGCCTTGCTCCCATCTTCATCTTCACCCACGCCATTATCAGTATCGTCATCATCTTCACTGTTGTCTTGGTCATCATCTTCATCAACACCATCAACATATTTGAAAGCATTCCTTTTATTTAGGACACAAACAAGATGGTCGACTATTAAATTTGACTTGACACACTTGAATTTAAAATGTCACTATTGCTGGTGCTGTCAAATAGACGACAGTGCGTCTTATATATTGTGGGAATACCGACAATCCTGCACAAAATGCAGAAAATGTATATGTATTAATAAGACCTGATGTGTTACTGAAAAGGCACCACAAACGTGCTCACTGTGCTTCATTGCTGGGTCCTGGGGGTGACAGGTCCAGAGCAAGTGTGTTCAGACTGTCCAGGAGGTTTTGCAATCGCCTTTCTTCTTCTTGTTTTCTCTCGTCATAGTTCCCCACAGGAGCCAGCTCATCAGCCTGGAAAGCAAGGCAGCAAATTATGACTTCAGCTTCAGCTTCACCATCAGTTTAGACTAATGTATTACGACAATCCTGTGACGAATCTAAATGAGTCGGTCAGCAGTACTGAAATGGTCTCTCTGGGATTTTGAAAATTGTTTGAATAATATATGATGTAAATTCATCTGAGAGAGATCAGTTTAAATGGCCAGGCAATATCATTGTTTATCTGACACCCTACTGACAGTGGATTACTAACCTTTGTCAGTTTCTGGAGTGACTTTAATGTTTTCTCTGCAGATATCTGCAGCTCTTGACATCTGTTGCAAAATGACAATGAAAAAACAGAAACAGAATGAGGTTTCAGTTCCTAGTTACATATCTAATCTGAGCTTCAGCTCAGATAATAGTTTAGGAATCAGTGCTACTCCTCTATAAAATATATTTACCTTCTAAATGCTTCTTCATTGGTTTCAAGCTTACTCCGCACATCTTTCACCAGACTGTCCACCTGTTTGACAGAAGGCATGATGCAAATCTTTTAAAAAATGTGGTTGATTGTACAAAAAAATAAATACATTAAGTAGATAACACAGCGTATTGATTCATGCACTAGGTCTGATGAAAAGTCAATTTTTCAGAGTCAGGGACTTTTTCCCCCCTGCTGTGCTTTGGGTCAATGTCAAAATAATCTACTCATGTGGTCAGACACAACTCCATTCATCTATATTTCACGAAATAAGCTTTGAAAGTTTTTCTCATCACTATTCCTCCTTGTTTTTGTAGGGAAGCTTTATCTTCGTCGTGTGTTTACAATGAGTTTATATGAAAATTTATGCTAGATCACACCACGTCCATAAAGAGTTTACCTTACACAGGAGAACAAGGGATATTTATTCAAGTTAAGTTTCGAGCCTTAGGGCCATTATATTTGGAAAGTTATCGGTTTGTCTCTCAACATCAGCTACAACTCCATCAACCAAAACATATTGTAAATCTGTGATTTTATACAAACACATGAACAATACGTACGCCATCTATACACAAACCTGTCTCTTGACTTCGTCCGCTTCTCTTTGGATAAGTTGCAAAGGTCCTCTTCTCTTAAGAGGCATTTATATGCTGTGTTGGTTCACAAACTCCATGTGTTAGCTGAAAACCTAGCTTGTCCGTGGTCAACGGGTCGCTAGGCAACCGACTTCTTCTTCGGAAGGAAAATGATTCGAGACCTTGTTGCTTTTGTTTATTTTGATATTTTGTCTCTATCTTCTTCGCCCTAGTTGTTCATAAAGTATATCAAGAAATATTTTTCTTCTCGTAGAATTAGAAAATATTAACTGAATACAATATTATGTCAACATTATTTGTTTGAGTCAATGACCAGACATTATTATCGAACTACTGCCATCTGCCGGCCTGTATAGTGACAGTTCAGGATGGATCAATAACAGTATACTTTAGTTTACAGTATACTGTAGTGCAAAAAAAGTGAATTTCATGATTCCAAGTTAACTTATTTATTGGAGCCTTATAATACCAGTTCGAACAGGTTTCCAGAATGTGTTGCATTATAATTCAAGACGTATTTCCCATCTTTTCATTTTGATTTAATTAATCTATATTTCACATTCTGGCGACCATTAATTTGTCAGTCATCTCCGTCATGTACGCTCAATTAACGGGCACGTGCAAATTAGTATTGTGTAAGTGCCTTTAAAATGACCTCAAGGGGGCGTACTTTTATGTTGTGAAACATGGTGCCTTCACAGGCTTTCCGTTAATTTCATAGACTACACTTAGAATACATTTTTAGTGACAAAGAGTCACTGATCCAACATTTGGGAAAGTGTAACTCTTCTTAATATCTAAAGAAAATTGCAAAAAGTCTCATCATTCACGTATTTCGGTTGGCAAGATCCGGTTTGTCACTGCAGTATTGAAACTTCCGGGCATAGGAAAGCAGCAAACGCTGTCTCTTACGTCACTTAAACGTAGAGTTCGTTTACGTGCAATGGCTGCCCCCGTCGCTCTCATTCAAGGTGCCAGCAGGGGACTGGGGCTTGAATTCTGTAAGTATATCTTAAAAAATCAAAGCCTCGCTGCTGTCATAGCGACATGCCGAAACCCGGACGGAGCCGCGGAGCTGCGGGGCCTGGCAGGACAACACCCGAGCAGACTCACGGTTCTCAAGCTGGACGTGAATCAGGAGGAGGACATCCGCGGAGCTGCAGAGCGGGTTAAGGAGAACTTTGGTCGACTGGATCTCATCGTTAACTCCTCGGCGATGCTTCATCCCTCTGGGAAGGGAGAGACCAGCCTGAGAGATGTTTCTGCACAGGTTGGACATAATCTCGTTCAACTCTAACTTTTTTTTTGTTGTCATCCCTTAACTATTAAAGATGACACCCATTCATTGATATCCTTTTCATAAGAGAGTTGTTTAAACTGTTAATTAAGTTGCATTTTTGTCCTCTTCAGGGTGTCATTTCCACCCTGACGACCAACACAGTGGGTCCTCTGATCATGGCAAAATATTTCTCCCCCCTCCTCCAGAAGGGGGGTGGTGCTTTTGGTCAGCAGCCTGCAGAGAAAGCCAAACAGCACAGCGGCATCATCGCCAACATCACGGCTAAAGTGGGCTCCATCGGAGACAACGGTATCTACCTGATCAGATATGTTTTTGTGAGCTGATAGAGCCAGACTAAACCACGGCTATTACAAGTAATTGCCTGTCAAGACATGATTCAGTGATTGTTTATGGAACGTGATGTCCTCATATCCACACTCATCTCTCAGGACTTGGTGGTTGGTACAGCTATAGGATGTCTAAAGCAGCTCTCAACATGGCAACCAGAAATTTGTCCATAGAGCTGGCCCGCAGTCGGCCAAAGGTGAGCATACCTGTTTTTTTCTTCAATATAATGTGCAGGATTATTTGATTATTTGGAAGTATCAGAGAAAAGATGTGTGAATCAGACTCACTGCTTTTTTTGTGTGTTTCCAGGTGTTGTGTGTTTCCTTGCATCCAGGGACAGTCAACACAGACCTTTCCAGGCCTTATCACAGAAATGTACCTAAAGACAAGCTGTTCACTGCTGAACACTCAGCAAGCTGCCTGATGAGCATCATAAACTCGCTAAGCATCGAGAAGACTGGAAAGGCATACAACTGGGATGGGACTGAGATTCCTTGGTAGAACTGATAATTGGAGAAAGACAGAAGTGACCTTATCGCTGCTGTTTTGTAAAAAACTCTCCAGTCAGACAGTGGAAGGGAAGGCAGTGATGTGCAGATAGTGTCTTGCAGAGTCGCAGTCCAAACAGTCGCTGACAACCTCCTCTGCTACCTCAGAATTTTCCAAAGTGCTCAAAACATCTTTGCTTGAACTATTGCCACTGCATACCGGCCAAATGAGGCCTTAGGATTTAATGGTTTAGGATTTAACACTAACATCCTCTGAGGTGATGCAGCAAGTTTCATTCTGTGGGTAGAAATGGTGAAAATTGAATAATTTAGACTTTTTTCCATATGGTTATGTGATTAAAATGAAAGGAATTCTGATTGTATTGTGTGACTCTTCAAACATTAAGTGTACTAAGCCTTTACAGATTTCTCAAAGAAACTGAAAATTATGTCAGTTGATGCCCACAAAACTGATTATGGATAAGAAATAAAAAATAACAAACCCCTCCCAGCCTTTTGCTATTAATCTCTGTAGTATTACCAAGATCTCAGTCTATCTAAAAAATCCAAAGCAGTATCTGGATGTTTTTGGTAGAACTGACTGCTGTGAACACATTTAATTACAATTTGTGTGGTGTGTGTGATAGCCAGTTGTCCAAGGAAACTTTGCTCCAATAGCCAAATGAATTAGAAAATGTGCTCTATCAAATGTCAGCACACTCTGGGTGTTTTAACTGATAGAATGAAACCGTTTTATACTGAAAGAAAATTAGCTAAAACACCAGCTGCAGCTTTGGATCATCTCTCGAAGTCATCTCAAATATGCTGAGGGTCCAAGAGATCCTAAAAATAACCCAGAACACGAGTTCCTATGCTAAGAAGAGTGGAAGGGAATTCTTGTGTCATGTTCAGGATTGCAAACAGGTTTCTGTGTTTTAGATTAATTAAATGAAAACACATTTTATGAGAGAATTACACATGCACTGCCTTTCTGGAGCCTGCAAAACATTCTATTTGACTTGAAGTTTGTGGAATAAATCATAAAAGCCAAACTCTCTTTGTTTTAGCTAGTTAGAGATAGTGTTTTTTAACAAGCAGGTAAATATTTCAAGTAATAGCAAATTTTATTCTTTTTGTTAATTTTCTTTTCCTCAGAGAAACAGATCGGCTTTAAGAAGGTGTTTTTGTGCCGGCTGCATGTGCCGAAGCAAAGGACAGTAGGGATTTAAGGAATTTGCTTGTCTGAACAGTCTCATATGGGAAATTTTAAATAATGTTGATCTGATTTAAACAAAGTCTGGTATAGTAACTTAATTCAAGAGTAATATATTTGAACAAATTAGAATGATCCTATTTTCAGCAAGTTATCTGAATTTTGCATTAGCTTCAGTGCAGAGCATTTACTCAATCATGCCCACCTTATGTTATTCAGGGTCACAGAGCCACACAGAGAAAAATCAGGTCTGGCACACGCACTGCTACCTCTCCATGGTTGATTTAAAAAGCAACAATTCACCCGACACAAATGTTTTTGGATGGTCGGAGGAATCCGGGGTAATCAAGAAGAACCCGCTCTGGCAAGCAAACAACCAGGGCTGAGATTTGAAGTGAAAAGAAGCGCCAGGGCTCAACACCAGGCCACAAAGCCTGCAGAGGGATTGTGTCTATCAAATGCCAGTAGCTTTCCACAGTTTACAAAGAATTTACAAAGGCTTGCAGCATTTTAATACTAGCTTTGTTTGGATTTCTCCTATTTGACATATCCATAATTGCATTTTGTGAACTTGTTAGTGCTTAAATGTTTTGCTCTTTCATGCACTATGATTAATATTTTCGTTTCAAGACAGTTTTTAACATATATATATATATTTTTAGGTTTATCATATCTCTTAACTTTACTATGTATTTATTTCGGAATCTGAGCTGCTTCAACAGCCTGTCATACAATATTTTGAATGTTTAATTCTAGCTGATGCCTTTTTAGTTCTTTTGTAAGATAAGTCTTCAACTTCAACTTTAATAGAAAAAACAAAAATTGCAATTTATTTTCACAGAAAAAAGAGAAACAGTCTTTTAGAAACAGTTTTCCTTTTTTTGAGCTTGAATTGCTCTTTGACCTTTGTCTTTTGTAAGTGTTCTGGTTATCTTATCCTCTGATTGGTATCAGGTCTCAGCTACATAAGACATGCTATCAGAGGGTCTCCTGTAAAAAAAAAAAAAAAAAAAAAAAAGAATATTTTTTTAAAAAAAGCTTTTTTTTTTTTTTGCTGCAGGGTTACTATGGTTCATTTTCTTGAGTAATGCATCGACTGTATGGCAGGTTTGTGCGCACGTCATGTGCGGAGAGGACTGCGGGGAATGAGAACGGCGGCGCATATAAATAAAAAGCCTCCACAGCTGCACGGACCGATGCCATTGTTCGGCACGCTGTTCTTTTAAGAAGAAAAGCGACACGGGGCGAGTCCGTTCCTGCGCGTCTTTATGTAAGAGTGTGGAATTGCGGTGCACTTTTACTGCGGAGAGAGAGCAGAAGAAACCGGTCGGGGGAGGTGAACGGGTCCTGACGTAGCAGTCCAACAACACACTCACACACACACACACACACACTCACACACACCGGTTACCGCTGCGCCTGCCAGTCGCTCAATGAGCTGAAATGACCGCGAATGACCTTAAAGGACATACTGTGTTTTAGCGACTGTTTGCATTTTCATTTCAACGGTCATATTGGTGAAAATGTACGCCATTTTTTTCTTTGGTAACGAAGAGTGAAAAAAAAAAAAAAGGCTAAAAGTACGGCGTTCGGCTAGTCGCACGGCTGCCTCTCAAGCTTGTCAGCGGGGCTAACACTTAGCTAGCTAGGCTAAACTGGCCTGGCTACATTGCTAACAGCTGAGCTTTTTGCACTTTGTTCCCCTGTAGATGCTAAACTAGGCTAAGCTAGTAGCTGCTGTCATGGATAAAGCAAAGTCACTGGTGGACAAGAAAGGAGCGTCGGGACCTTTTCATGTCAACAACGGCCAGAGCCAGAGGGGCTTCCACTGCCCCGTCGTGGTCGCCGCTAACGGGAGCTGCTGCAGCACCAATGCGTTCAGCCTGAGCACCGGAGCCAACAGCGGCACGCTTGAAAACATGCATCACCTGCATCGCGGGGAGGATGCGGAATGCATCGGGTCGCCTGCCAAGAGGTGCCGCTTGAGGAGGAGGACGGAGTCGTTGAGACGGAACAGACCCCGTAAGTCAAACACGTCTATCATAAGGCACTGTCATGCCTTGTCATTTATCTTCCGCGAGATAGTGTTTTGTTTGTATTACCCCTGCTGGCAGCTGAGCAGTTTTTATTTACACAACTGTGCGGTGTTGCAATAAAAGCGAGTCTGCCTGCCTCTGAAACCTTGCGTCAGATTTTTTCGTTGCATCTTCATTAGCTGGCTTTATTTATTTTTAATTAGTCTGTGTCTCAGAACCCAGTCTTGTTTTTTCTGCAGGGTGTTGTGTTTAATTTCCGTGTGCAGCTCAGCTGTCTAATCCATCAGCCTGCCGTTGTCCGGGAGACCCTTTGTGTATATGGACCCTCAGGTTGTATTTAGGGCGCTGTGATTGGTTGGTTTCCAGTGGTGAAACAGCTCCTGATAAGTGGGTTGGCTTACTTCAGCCAATCACTAAGCGACTCTTGTCTATAAGAGGAAGGGTGAGTAGATCATAATCCCGCCCCCTTTATTACCAAGTGTTGCCGTTGATGTCAGCGAGGATCATAGTAAACTTTTCAGATTTCGCGAAGAATGCTTGAAAGTATCGTTTTCATCAGCATTGTAAAGTCTTGTCAGATATCCCAGACCGTCTGAAACTTTCAACAAAGACATCTATCAAACAGTTTTTCTCTGCATTTTTATGCTTCCTTGTTTGCACCTGTGAGCAGATATTTATCTTTACAATGAAGCTTATAACTGAGAAGAAACCGGGTAAGTTTGAGCTGGTTTGTCTTTTACCGTACAGAGATCGGCAATGTCTATAAACTCCTAACCTGGTCTTTCATTATCTCCTCTTGATGTTTATTAAATTAATAAGATAGAAATACTACTTAATGTCATTGTATCTATCACATCTTAAGCACACATTGCTTAACATTTTCGTCATATGATTTTAAAGTTTACATTTCTTAAAGGATATTTGCTGTCTTCTTGTTTGTAATTAGTGGTTAGTTGTTACTTGGTACTTTAAGATGTTTGCAGAGACGTCAGATGTGGTTGTAGATGCATTGTTAGCCTCTCAGCATTCCCTGCATCTGTTCATAATTGTGTTTGGGAGAGATGGAGTGAAGAAGAAAAGTTAGTTTTATTTCATGAAAAGTTGTGTAACTGTCACTTATGAGAAGCAGGCATGTAACGGCAATAATACCACAGTATTTGCAACTCTATCAGCTGTTGGACTCATTGTTAGAGCTCGATGCTTGTTTGTAAGAAGTGAACTGATTTTTTGTTCGTTTCTCATCCCTGCCAACTAACAAGATATCTTAGTGGCTGAACACATAACGTATCCCTTTCTTTAGAAAGTGAGGTGAATGACACATATCTGCTACATTCAGATGATACAGTACTTTATCTATAAATGTTCTTGTTCCTGCACCAAGCATGAATATTTTTTCTTATATTTTCCCTAATTGTTGGATTAAAAAACAAACTTTTTTTGGTTGCAAAGATATACTTGCATAAAACTGTCTACCTACAGCCAATAAACAATTTTGACTTTTGAATAGCACTCAAGTATTTAAAAGTCTAATGAATCTGAAAATATATGTTACAGACATATTGTTTCTGTAATGATTATGTCAGAGATCATTTGGAATGAGCTCTCTACAGCGTCACACTGTTATTCGGATACACAAGTAATCAGTAATGTTTATTACATGATTACATGATTGCTCAGTTCTCATGTAACAAAAAAGAGCCAGCTTCAAAGCGATGGCAATGACTATATATGTGCTGACTCCAGACACACAACCACAGTTCCACAGTTCCTGCAGCAGTGAGACACAAGCAAACACACACAGATTCTTAGAATGTGAAAAATGTTTGTTATTGTGATATTTTATTGGATGAGTCAGCCATAAAGCAGACAATACATCACTGATTTTTTATTTTTTTGCCGGGATGTTGAGTTGCGACAGAGTAGGAAAAAGAAGAGGTTCCCAAGATTATGTAATTAAAGGGTCATCTCATTTGTAAACTTTGAATGGTCCTGTTAGAGCTCGAGTGCTTCATGGCTGGTTTATTCTTGGAGGGAGTCCAACCATCCCGATAAACCTAGATAAAACTCTTAAGCTTTCCCTCATTGGGGCTGACCCCGGTATGTGTTCCCCTCACGGATGTGATTTTTTACTTTTGTCCCAAGTCTTTTGTTCTGTTTGGGTTCGAGGTGGTGAAAGGTTGGGGTTACTTTTGGTTAATGCTGCCCGAAGTACTGCTTGTTTTCACTGGAAGCAAGTTGGCAGCCGTTTATGTATTTGCTTCTCTAGTGGAATGAAAGAGATGAAACCTAATGAGATTTGACACAGTGTCCTGTGATGACTGACCTAAAAAATGTGACTTAAAAGTGGTGAAAAGTTTCTTTTGGAGATCTGTCATTTCTTTGCCTTCAGCTACATAACAATGGCTGCAGCTTCTGAAATCTTGCTGGGTATCTGGTGGTAAAAGCGTTTCTTTTTGCTGAAACATTATTCCGTTTTTTTTTTAATCTTTTGAAGTGTTGCATGGTGCCGCAGCTTTAAACCAGTTCAAATTCATCATCACATTTGCAGTGTAGTTGCCTTAAAATAAAAAGCAGTACTTGTTGGATAATTATCAGTAAAATAATACATTTTTAGGTCCTTTGAAGCAGAGCAGCTCTTACTAATGAAACTAAGAGAAAACCTGCAGTTTAAGTTTACAAGTTTGTTTTATGTTGCATGAGTCTTTTGTTACAAATAAGAGTTGTGATTCAGGAAAATGAGAGGAAATTTAATGCTGCAGATAATAACAAAAGGGATCATTTCTATTTTTCCTTTGTATGTGTATCCTAGAAATCAAAAGAAATTAAACGCAACAAATTCAAATTCGGACCACAGCTGAAACTCTCAGTAGGGTTTCGGGGTTAAAAGAGTTTTTTTTTTTTTTTAAAGCAACAAACTTTGAATAAATACCATGGCCCACCCGGTTTCCAGCTCTTTTGGGATCAGCCTGTACACCCTGTGCATGTGAGGGTTTAGTCACACAATAACTCCCATGGGCAGATACAGGTTTGTCAAACAGGTCAATGTTCCACTCCTTCCTTTCACAGATGGATGTGCAGGATTTATAAATTAGCTTCCCTAAGAATATAGGTAATTTGGGAAGGGTGAGATTATGTCAGAGATAATGTAAATTAGTATTAGGGGCAGTGCCACACCCCAAAACTACAGAAACTTTCCCTCCCTTTGAAACTGGGTGCAGTCCCACATCTGCTTAATTTCTCTAAAACACTTACATTCTTTTTTCAGTCTCTTTAGCTTGGAAATTGTATGTGCAGGATCACCAATGATCTGTTTGTTGTAATATACAGAAAATAAAAAAGATATTTTAGAATGAAATTGGATGGAAATAATTACCAAATACTCATCTCATTTAGCTACTTTTGTTATCGCATATGAATAAAAAAAAGCTTTTTGTCAACACTTTCTGATCATTGTTATTAATATGCAACATTTATTGCACAAACGATGAATTAAACACAACAATATTTAGTTGATAGTTATGTGTTGAAGATAATGAATCAGTTACAGCCATGTTTTGTTTTTGAATAGCTGAAACATGGATCAAGATGATCGTTGAGTTATGAATCATAGTGGAATAGTTTTATTTAAGATTCTTTCTTTTTTTTAAATTGACTTCAACAGTGAATCAGTAATAATTGTGACTGAAGACAAAAAGAACACGTCACGTTTAGTGTTGAGTTCTTTGTATCTATTGTATAAAAACAAGCTGAAGCTGATTTATGTTCTTGTCTTATCACCGAATGTGTCTCAGACAAGAACAGAACAAGACGAGTCCATCTGAACGGGACAAAATCAACACAAATTATGCTCTTCTTGGTAGACCGTTCATGCAGGAATATTGTATCCACCATGTGGACGTCCTGTGCAAGGCAGGTGTTTGTGAGGCCAGAGGCCTTTCACCTACATGGAGGCCATCATTTCTCCTGTGCCCTGCTCCTTGTCACAGTGCCCTTTGGCTGCACACAGTATGTTAGCGTGATATGCGCCTGCGGGCTTGCGAAGAGGCTGTGGACACGAAAGGGGGGATTATAGTAGGGTCAAAACTTCATTAATGGATGGAGGTTTCAGAATTCTTTGAGTTTTCCTTCTGGCCGCAGCTCTTCAGGGGATGGAAAGGCTCAGATCTGAGTTGCTGAAGTGCTTGAAAATGATTATTTGTGCAGGTTTTAAGTGATGCATGTTAAAATTCAGCAACAGAGTGCTGGTAAATGGATAACAGACAAACACGGGCCAGTCTTTTCAGTCAGGTTCAGTTTGTTTTCATATAAAAAACAGCCACAGACAGCAAAGTATAATGTCTCCTTATGTATGAAGTATTCTTTTTGTTGTTGTATTCGCTTCACAGGGTGATTCTTTTAGATGAGGCAAGGACAGTGAATGGGTGTAAATAAGATCAAGTTTGTGAGTTGTCGACTCCGTTCAAATCTTGCGGTAGTGTTTTCCAGGCGTTCTCTCCGAGGAAAGACTCCTCACAGCATGGAGAAACCAGCACCCTGAAGACGAAACAATGGCACATCTGTGAAGACATGCATTTTTCATGAGGCGGAAACTTTGGCCAGGCCCTGCTAATGTTTACACGTCTAACAACAGGAGGAGGTTTTAGACTGGGCGCTGGTCTGTCTGACTTTTGTTTCCTCAGTCTTTTTGTCTTAATTTCTATTAGACTGAAGGGATTAGTTTCTTCTTGCATTATTCTCTCCTCATTTTCTGTTCCATGTGAACTGTCTACTGTCCAGTAAAGATGACAAAGCCTCCCCATTGTGCTAAGATAAGGAAAATATGATCAATTCAAAGCACTTTAAAGCCTGTTTATTCATGGATGATAAAGTGTGTTCTGCTGTTTGCTCTGCAATATCCAAATAGTGTGGTGCGCTATGCTGTATTTCCAACTTTAATTTTATTCTCTTGTTGTTTTCCAGATAGAAGAAAGGAGCTGCTCCTCCTATTTGTCATTAGGTTGTCTTCCTGTTTTCTTCAAAATGCTCACGCAAACTGGTGTTTTTGCACATATAAAAGAATTTGACTGTGACATGTTCTTGTACTTGTCTCTTTCTCCTTTGTGAGGAGTCACCTGTTTATTTACACCCTGCCATTACATCGCTATGCGTGTAGTAGAATTTCCTCTTTGAGAGCAATCTTTTTTTTAAAGGGAAATGGAGACCTCAGTCTTTCCACTTAAAGGATTTTAAAGAGGACAGTTACTAATTCATTTGAGGCAACAAGCTACATTATGTGGTCCTCTAATGTTAAATGAAAGAATCCCACCGCGTGCTGTCTGTAAGTGTATTCTTGGCTGAGGTGGAGGAAACTGATGGTCACTTGAGGCTGACACTATCATGTCCCTTTGCCCGCTTCAGTTGCTTATGTGGTGTTTCCTTTCATCACATCAGAGTATATTTTAAGTGGAACCAGGAGTAGGCAACAATCATTTCACTGCCCTTTCTCAGCTTTGTTCCTCTGATTCCTTAAGGGGAAGCCATCAACTTCCTTAAACTATTTAAATCTAAGGCTCTGGGCTTTGTGCGGTTGCCCACAAATCTTTGGAAATCATTGAAGCAATTCTTGAGTTTCTTCAGACTTGAAAGGTGAAAGGTCGGATATGTTGCTCCAGCAACATGTATCAGGTTAAGAGTGCCACTTTGTGAAACACAACATGGGTTGTGTTATGCGCTTTGTGATTTAAAAAAAAAGAAAAAGAGGGACTCATTATGTCTGTCTCTGATAAGTATCCCTTTAAAGCTGTCAGTTATTTGTGTTCCAAACATTTTCTTCATGCATTGCTGCATGTGTGCTCTGTAGGTCAGCCATACAGAATCAGGACGGGTCAGTGGGTGAGAGGGGACGGGAGGGGGGGCAGCAACACAAAAGGTGAGGCGACTGGTCTGCTGTAAAGAAGCAGCAACAGCTGGACAAGTAAAATATGAGCATTAAAAATCATCTTTTGATTCCTTTTTGTTTTAATGCTTTAAGATATTTTGGGGGTTACATGAAAAATCTGTCTGTCTGCACCTCCTAGGTGTTTTCTTTCTTCTTGAAAACCATGTAGAGAGAGTGATGGATCTAATCATAAAAAGTGTCAACTGATGTCAAGAAAAAAAGAACTCCGTCACTCAACCTGATGTCAAACACTCTTATAGTTCAAAAGGTAACAATTGTGCACGGAAAGAAATGTTTGTCCTGTTCAGCTGTCAAGATTTGTTGGGAAACTAGTTTTCCGACTCGACCACATACTTTAGACCTGAAACTCTCCTGAACATGATGCACTGACTCTGAGTGAACTGGAGCGCCGCCCCCAGCAACGCTTAGAGGGCAGCTATCAACTCATCAGAAGAAATTCACTTCATCCTACCAAAATGAAGGCTCAAAAGAATGGCTGCCAGCTTTAGGTTGGGATAGAAAAACAGAATTAATTTTCTTTTAGAAAAATTGTCTTACAGAAGCTTAAGGAGGTGTATGTGTGGGTAACTGACTGTGTGTGTGTGTGTGTGTGTGTGTTTGTGTGAAAGGATGAGAACCCGCAATTTTCTAACTAGCTTCAGCCCTTGATGAGATCTCCATTGTTGGACTGTAGTTAGTTAGTAACCAGAGAATATTCCAGAGATATGGAGCCGTCTTCGTTCTACAGGAGCTCAAGAGCCCAAGGCTCAAATTCTGCAGTTCTAATCTGAACGTGGACTTTGCCTCAGTAAACCAGAGTGACTCTGTTCCTTTCTGCTGTTTGTTGTGAAATGGTCGCATCTCCTGATCATCCATTGGCAGCTGGGCTTGCAGCACAGGGTAGGCAGGTCAGCAGTCATATGCAGTATGCAGACCACTGTGTGCTTTCAAGTGCAGTCTGTCAGTTTAATTTTTTTTACAAAACTCCAAAGGCAAATGCACAATCTATTTTGAATATCACACTGTTTATGTAGTTTCTCAGCACTCAGTTCTCATTATTTCTAATGAATTAAGGAATCATTTGAATTTATGCAGCTCAAAGACAAAATCTCATTTTGTTGATGCATTTTTAGTGAGTATTCAGGGATTTGTTTGTTGGAAAGCTGTGGGTGGTATTTGAGATTATTATTGGGATTTACTGTTTTTTTTCACAATGGATTTACAGAAATACGATTAGACGTATGATGATATTGTTTCACATGCTGACCAAACTCAGTGAAATGTTTTGAGACACATTTGAGCAAAGAAATAGAAAGAAAGCAGTGATACACACCTCTGTCTGTATCACTCTGCAAATGATCGGAGTAAACTCCTCTCATTTATTCATTTAAATGACAGATTATTGTAAAGCATCTTAAACCATAAAACAGAATAGTATTTTTGTTTAGAAATAGTTAAAAACTGTTTTAAAAGAATTAGCCGCATAGCAGGAAGTCAGTGAGAGGAAGGAAAAAATATCTAATTTTACCCAAAATTTTACTTGATTCAGGACCAACCGATTTTGCTCTTGGTGAGGTCGTTGTCTATTTTGTATAATTCTATTCTAGGAAAAACATGTTTCCAATTTTGATACAAGAAAAAGCGAGCGTTTTCAAAAGGACTACAAGCCCTCATATTTTTCTGGGAAGGAAACAAAAAAGCTTTCTGCTTGAGTAAGTTTGTTTGTGTGTAAATCCGTGTGGTTCAGTGGGATGGCTGACCATCAGGCTCTAAATGGACGAATTCAACGCATTCCTTTGGTGAATGCAGGCGTTTTCCACAACAGCACATGTTTAAGTGAACACATGCTGCTTGAGCAGTTACACAATGTTTACATTATTGTTGGTCAGAGGGACAGTGTCTGCATCGAAAGCTCTGCTGACCTCTAACTGTATTCCCGGTCAGCATAAAGGATTGGTGGAGTAGTTGGAGGCCGTCTCCAGTTTGGCCGTCTGCAACCATAACTGTTGAATCACAATCAGTCTCTCGGTTGTTACACCAGGACTTTGGTGCTAGCTGAAGTGCTGGTGCAAACTCAAATAGGTCAGAGCTGGTGGCTGCTAAAAATAACCGTGTATTGACAGGTAGAACGGAAAATCATCATTTTGATGTGGTTACTGTCATTTAGTTTGATCTGCCTGTGTCCAGATTTGTCTTTTTGTGCGTTTGAAGCCAATTCTAAATTTCTGACAGAACCCACAGTTTTCTAAATCGTCTTGTTTTACTTAAGCGATGCAAAGCTCACTTTCAAAATAATATTATTACGTTAACATTTGGGCTAGTTATGTGGCTTCATTTATCATCACGCACATAGCTTGTCCGAAATTGCAACATTGATTTAGAAATCGAAATCCATTAATCAATGCTTCCTAAATTCATTTTAGTACATTTTGATTAGTATTAATAGAGCTGGTCTAATTGGGCCTAAGAAATAATAAGATGGTTTGTGTGAGGGAGCAGCCGAGGCTCTGAGAAACAGAGAAATAGGAGGCTGGACTCTGTGTTTGCGATGGAGTAGAGGGGAGATGGTGGGGGAAGGGTATCTGTTTCTATGGGAACATTGGCTCTTGGTGAGCTCTATATTTTTTTTCCCAAACCAGTTCAACTAGCGTGTGGTTCTGCAATGTTTCATTGTCATCATGTTGAACTCTGTTCTACCAAACCAGCCCCGAAGAGACGATCGAGGGGTAATCATCTGGATTTATTTCAATAGATGCTCCCCTTTCTGATGTAAACATTTATTCTTGTGGGGGTTTTTTTAAACAAATAATGAATGAATTAATATACTTTATAGATGACATTTGTCGTCTCATATTTCAGCCATAAGATGATCAAATCTTTCACCATATCTCAATAATGACTTGCAAATGATCACATTAAAGGTTTTTCGTGAGATGCTGTTGTAAAGTCCTATTTTAAAGAGGCTCATGAATTTCTCCCTTTGCAGCCTTCCCCTGGTTCGGTATGGACATTGGTGGGACCTTGGTCAAGTTGGTCTACTTTGAGCCGGTTGATATAACTGCAGAAGAAGAGCAAGAAGAAGTCGAAAACCTCAAGTCAATCCGTCGCTACCTCACTTCAAACGTTGCCTATGGTAAGACATATTGCGTCTTTCTCACACACACACGTTAGTGTCATTGTGTATTTGATTTGCAGTGTTTTAAGGATCCTAACCTTTGCACTCAGGTAAAACAGGTGTCCGCGATGTCCACCTGGAGCTAAGGAACCTGACCATGTTCGGCAGGACGGGGAACCTGCACTTCATCCGCTTCCCAACGCAGGCCATGCCTCGTTTCATCCAGATGGGACGGGACAAGAACTTCTCCAGCCTTCACACTACACTCTGCGCCACGGGAGGAGGGGCATACAAGTTTGAGGATGACTTCAGAACGGTGAGTGTATGGCCAGAAAAAAAGTCCTGATAGATACAATAAAATTTGTTAATTCATTTGACTGAAACATTTGTCTTCATGATATCTTAGATGAGGCATTCGGAGAAACTCTAAAAATCCCATTAAAATCGTTTTTTCCATAGAATGTTTTGATTTCATACACTTAAATTATACGAAGCAAATTGAGGCCTTTAATCAGAGCTAATCACCAGAAATCTCTTTCTTGTCCAATCCAACTCCTATTGTGCTGCAGATGGCCGACCTGGAGCTGCTAAAGCTGGACGAGTTGGACTGCCTCATCCGCGGGCTGCTGTTTATCGACAGGGTTGGTTTTAACGGACACCCTGAGTGCTACTATTTTCAGAACCCGTCAGACACACACAGCTGTGTGAAGAAACCCTGCAACCTGGACAACCCCTTCCCCATGCTGCTGGTGAATATCGGCTCTGGGGTCTCCATACTGGCTGTGTACTCGGAGAACAACTTCAAACGGGTGACTGGGACCAGGTAAGGAGGAGTGGCTCCCACCATATTACGTTTGCCTCTGACTGTGAAATGATTATCTGATCCCTCAGATAAGCAAAGTGTCTTACACCCAAGTGAATTCTGACAATAACACTCTCACTTTGTGTACTTTTCCACTTATGTAACAGTACAATTAGCTGAGATTCGATATCAGACTGTAAAAACAATTGCTTATCAGCACTGCACTGTTGTGTGTTTGTTTTTATTTAAATTTTACTCAGCATTTGAACCTGCCTCCTGCTATCTCCTTTGTTCAGCTGATGAGCTAATCCAGCCAAGCACATACCGTCTGTCTGTGTGTGTGTACACGTGCTGTCACAGTACACCGTCGGTTACGTCCTTGTTATGAAAATAGAAGGCGAGGCTCCTCACCTTAGTCTGACTTTTACACCACGAGAATGAAAACAGTTTGTGTTGCCAGTGGAGGTCTCAGGCTTTCCTGGCCTCGCTGTGTGATTTCATTCCGATCAGCCTGTTAATGATTCAAAGCATGTTTAATACATCCTGAAATTTTTATCTACATTTGCATTGCCTGCTCTTGGCTCATCAGTTGGTCTTGCTGTGTTCCTTAAGGTCACAGTTGGTAATTGAGTTAAAAAAGACACTAATGTGTGGTTTCTCATGCTAGTTGTGACAACAAAGGATTCAGACATTGTGAGCCTGTGTTTTACCTCATATAAAGTGAGAAAAGATATCAACTGTATGCTTTGGCTTGAGTTGAAAAATCACTGTTTAACAATTGAATTCAATGTTCTGCAACAGCATATGTCCCTCCTTTACATATATTCCAAACCTCTTTGCTTTTAATGATTTATTCTCTCACCCCTTGTTTTCTTCCTTTGTTCATGTTCCTGGCCTCTGGCCCGTTCTGAGCTTCGTTCTTTGTCATATTTTTGCTCTTCTTGTTTACCTTGTGCTCATCCTCTCTCTATGCTCCATTTTCAGTTTGGGAGGAGGTACATTCCTGGGCCTTTGCTGTCTGCTGACGGGCTGCGAGACTTTCGAGGAGGCATTGGAAATGGCCAGCAAGGGTGACTCTACAAACGTGGACAAACTGGTGAAGGATATCTACGGTGGAGACTATGAGCGCTTTGGCTTACAGGGCTCTGCTGTTGCATCCAGGTGAACATGAAACTGATACTGCATTTCACTCAAAACAGATGTTAATACTCTGATAACCACTTTTCAGTGTTCTCATTTTAGTAAAATATAACATATCTTCTGAAGGCAATGCATTTCTATGATCATACAGGTTTAAAACTAGAATAGTACAAACCTGAAACTGCCAACTGAAAACAAAAATGCCCAGGCTTTAACTCATATGAGCATGACAGGAGGTGATTTAAAGTTTAATGCTGCATGTTACTTCACAGCAGCATTGAATCAAGTACTCCTTGTAACCATGGTGATGTACAGTGCTGAAAGAAAAAAAAAAATAGTGATAAGATTGTTGAGCGTTCAGAGTGGACTTGGATCTTGGTGGCTGAAGTCAGTCTTAAATGATTTTTCGTTGTTAAAAGCAGGAGGATGGACTACACTAAAAATGACCGTGAATTATTTATAATTGATTGATGAGGTTCATAAAAGGCACATACCAGCAAATGGTGTGTGGAGTTAGACTGAGCAGACTGAACCACAGCAGCTTATTTTGGGTTTAGTTTCTATTCTGTAAACATTCAGCAGAGGTCAAAGGTCGAGCTATAAAGCAAAACAAAATTCAGATTTTCACACTGTAGTTGGTCAGACTATGATGTGCTGTTGTGCTGTTCCCTTATGCCGTTTAGGGCAAGAAACCACTGTCAGTTGGTTAAATATTGCCTCTCAAAGCCACTTTCTGTACATGTGCCAGACTTTTTTCACCTTAATTAGCCACCAGCTCAGTGCTTTTATTGGACACAAGATTTAAACTATCCTCCAATAACATGTTTCCCATGGCTTGTTTTACAGTTTTGGTCACATGATGAGCAAAGAGAAAAGGGACAGCATCAGTAAGGAGGACCTGGCCAGAGCCACACTGGTCACCATCACTAATAACATAGGATCCATCGCACGCATGTGTGCGGTCAACGAGGTACACGCAACCTCACACACACACAGAAAGGATGCAAGTTGCTGTCTCCTTAACACCAAGTGTTAGCAGTGTGTTACACAACTAACCCAAATTTCAATCGAGAAATGAAAGAGGTTTCTGTGTTACCGATGCAGTTATAAAGATATTTAAAGGTTATGATGTTTTGCTTTGTGTTTCCTGTTTGTGCCCTTTTACAAACATGGAGTTTGTCTGTTTCTTTCATACATTTTAGCAGCTAATAACTAGTCTGTCTATACTTCCTTTTTTTTTAAACTTCAATAAAGGCAGGTAAAGGTAAAATTGTGGGATAACATTAATAGTTTTCTAGTCATTTCCAACAGTTTTTATAGTGCTGTGCTGAACTGTCCCTCAATATCTCATTCAACTCTGTAACTCTGGAGGTTTAACAATACAACACAAACCAGATGCTTATAAAAACATAAAAACCTTAGTTATTTATTTCATTTGGCTTGCGATCAGTGATTATGGGAGCCATGAGGTTTAGTTTTTGCTTTGATGTGCAAAATATTTTATACTGTGTTAAGAATCCATAAAACAATATTTTAACAACATGATTCTATTGTAAAAGCCACAAAGTCCACACATTTCCTCCTAAAACATGCATCAATCAAAGCTAATGATATTGGTTGTCTCTGAACACTTTCTGTGTGCTGTGAGCTTCTTTACAGTGTTGCCTTGTGGCATGGCGATCAAGCAGCATTGTACAGGGCTATCACTGCACACAGAACCGCAGCAAAGACAAGCTCAGGCCCCTCAGTCAGGGGGGTGGCTGACGTTTCTTTGTTTTTTAAGCTGTTTTACTTAAAGATCAGCGTTAAAGTTCAAGGCGCTCTAAGAAATGAATAACTCTATATTATACTACCCTAGATTTTCTTATCAGATATTGGAATGCCATTGGAATGAGTTAAGTTAAGCCATTACAGCTACTAAAATCACCCAATGCTGACTCTTTAAATGCAGAGGTAAACTTGCATAATGTGATTTCCTTGATAAAGTAATGTCTTGCCATTGTATTAGTATCTAGCACTCCCATGTGGCTGGGAATAGGTGTTACATGTTCACCCTCGACCAATGGATCTTCCATAACCATTATGTGACTGTTTTCACATGGGGTTGTTTACACTGCATAGGCACCTTAGAGGGAGTCAAAAGCATAAGCATACTAAAACCCTTGCTATTTTGTGCTGTTTTTTTCTTTTTGTATCAGAAAATCGAGCGTGTGGTGTTTGTTGGGAACTTCCTTCGGATCAACACGGTATCCACAAAACTGCTCGCTTATGCCATGGACTTCTGGTCGAAAGGACAGCTAAGAGCCCTCTTTCTTGAGCATGAGGTGAGCATTTGGCTTATACCCTTTCGGTTTAAATGAGGCTAAGGTCCTGAGCTTAACCCGAACAAATGTAATCACAAAGGCAAAATAGTGATACTCTGCTTTCAGTGCCTTTGTGTGAATACAGCTCCACTGGTGTGTGTGTGTGTGTGTGTGGGTGTCTTCATGTCATCTTTTTTCACTCCAGGGTTATTTTGGAGCTGTGGGAGCACTGATGGAGCTGCTTAAGACCTCAGAAGACCTGTGAAGAAAATGAGTTGTGACATCATCAGTTCTTGATAAGAAGATGTCAAACCCCTCCCCTCTCACACACACACACACACCCCACACCCTAAAACACCCTGACGTCGTCACCCTTAAGCGTTGTGACGTCATAAAGTTTCGACGCTGCTGCAGCTCCCATTCACAGAGGCCACTACAGGAATACAAAGATGGAGAAACTGAGAAGTTATTTTAATAATTAAACTCTTGTAAATAATCTTAACCTTTAACAGTTCTCTTAAATCCCCAGAGCCCTCCTATCTTAGAGGTTTTAATATTTTGATCATTAATTTATGCTTCTTGTTGATTCCTGAGATCAGCCCTGTCAGGAAGCACAGAGACAAAAGTATTGTAGAGTTTTGTTACTGTGTTTGCGTGAAAAACTACTGTAGCATTACATCTTGGGGACAGTAGTGCATTTGGTGACTATTTATGCAACTGCTCCTCTGGAGAGGATGTCCGAACAGGAAAGAAGTCACTCTTGAATTCATGTTTTTTGTTGTTGTTGTTGTTGTTTTTTTTTAACCACCAGCAACTCAAGGAAATTGTGTGTCTGCAAGCGCAGAAATATCACGTTGGAAGGTTTGGGAGGGAGGTTTGGTCACTCGTGCACACGGCTCCTCCCCATGCCGGCGTTTTCTGAGGAGCCAAATCCTGCTGAGATCCCCCTGCCTCCTTCAGCTCGGATGAAAAGCAGAAAAAAAAAAACATTTTGAAATCTGTAATTTGCTCCTCTGCATATGGCCTTTTTGTTTTTGTTTGTCTCTCTACCGCCTGTCCACTCGTAAGGAACACTAACAATACCCCGTTGCCAATGCCCAGTCTGCCGAGTGGAGTGTGAGATGATGGGACCAAGACACTGTCTTCCAACACATTGAAGTATGTTGTAGATATTTGTTCAGGACCCAGTCTGGCTCAGCAGTTTGTGGTTGCAATCTCTCCTGTCCACTGTTGTTGTCCTCTGCCTTTCTTTGCCTCTTCCTGCTGCTTTGGTTGGACGCTGAGGTGTTGTTTCACGAGGTCCTTCAGGCTGACATTACAGTTGAAGATTGTAAGGCCTGGACGAAAGAGATATGATAGCAAAAGAATGGAGACAATGAGGACCAAGATTTCTATAGTGGAAGTGGCCCCACATGCTAATGCATGAATGCTGGGAGCATGGTCTGTCAGCACTGTATGTTTAACCATTTCTACCATTCTGATGGTGTACATATTGTTAGAATCCTTTGAATTAAGAAGGCAAACACTCATCATCCCGACCCTCCAACTTGCTGTGAAAAATACGCTTTAACCCACTGGAACTGTTAATGAAGTAGTTTCTCAGCATTCCCTAGATACTGATCTTTTCTCAGATGCTGTAGTTGCCCATGTCAGCCACGCGTGAAACCTGAGACATGCCCACGTCCACACCGACCTGGCTTCCGACAAAGAGCAGTTGGCAGATGTGGGCAAAATCAACCACAGTTATGCAAACTAGAGTGTGGCACAAAAAGCATTGAATGAGGAAACGGTCTCATGAGCCAGGCGCTACTTGTGTGCTGGCTGTTGTCATTCTTAGATTTATCATGACTCGAATACTTGAAAAACACATGTGGATGGATGTTTCATCTTTCAGCAAAACTTCTGCCTTTTAAAGGATTCTTTTTGAATGATCTGCTCTTTGATTATTTGGGGAAGTTTAAATCTTATATTCAACACATGTTTTATGCTAAAGGGCAGGTTAAATCCCTTGTGAAATTAGATTATAGTGGTTTTAAGCAGAGGACCACGAGTGTATTTTTCTCTGTATTATTGTGGTCTCCCTGTTAAAGTCTCAACCTTTATAGCCTTCCACCTCTTTAGTGTCAAAGGAGCTGAACCTTAAAGCCAGACAGTGCTTTCCATTGTTTTATGTGTTCAGCTCCACGGTGTACATGCCTTTACTCTCCAGCAGAGGAGATGTGTTTTCAGCTCAGTTTGAGACTCCTTTCTGTGGGTCCACCTCCCACCTCTCTGCACCCATAACTTGGTGTTCCAACTAACAATCAATGAGATTTGATCTGTTCCAGCTGTCTCAGAACAATTTCTCCTCTAGATTATATGTGGTTGATGTATGAACTCCTAATCAGGTACTTAAACGTTAGCTAAGCAAGCTTTCGGAAGGTCTCATTGATAGAATTGAGCACTCTTATCAGTCATAGACTTGGACTACACTTTGACCCCAACTAATAACATTTAGTCACTGTGTTGTTTTCTCTTTTGGTCCCCCCCCCCCGTTTTCCTGTTTATGAAGCTGTTGGTTGAAGCCGCAACGCTGCATGCAGTGAAAGTGTAACGTCATCCATCATTTTTCATGGGCCGAAATATCCTAAAGCCATTCCTTATGCAAGTTTTTAGCCCGAGGCTGTGAATAAAGGCTTTTCTGGTAGTCATTTTGAGAAGTTTAGACTCTTAACGTCATTGAATCATCAGTGCATTCAACCCTGCTGTGATGACGCCGCAAACTGTGACGTCATTCATGTTCTGTGCTGTGTTTTTCCCCTTTTTTTCTGTTATTTGCCTTGTTCCAACTTTTGTTTGGATGATAATAGTGACCTCAGTCCATTAGGTGCCAGTCTTCTTTAAAACTGAGCTGGTGTTGGTTATCTTGTGCCACCCCCTCTCTAATATGGAAGTCCCCATCAGTTGCCTTTTCTGGTTTTGACACTTTTTTGCTCTTTCTTTTATTTTTCTTCTGACCCACCACCACATTGTGTGTAATGTCGTGCATCCAGGTACTTTTAATGACCCATGTTTGCATTCTGTTCAGATATGTTTATTGTCTATTTTGTTTTTCTGGTTTCTTTTTTTTTTTTTTTTTTTTTTCTGCCATTGTACTGTATCAGAGTAAACAATCCGCACAGTCTCAAAAATGACCTCAGTACACAAAGCTGACCTGCTGGTTCTGAGTTAGTCTTAGTAGAAAAGAAACAACTTCCACTGGTGCTGCAGCAGACTGGGTTTTTGAGTTAGAACAGCCTTTGCATATCATTAAACCACTGAAAGACAAAATTCAGATTGTACACAATGGAAGCCATCTTATCTTTCTTTATTTGGTGTTTTTTTTATAAGTATGTTCTCTCTTTGTTTTCATCCTGTTGTTTTCTGTGGCCAGTAATAAGTCTGCTCGTGTAGTTTTCTACCTGAACTGAACAAAAGCAAAAGGAAAAAAAGTGCATTGTTTTTATGTTTTTTTTTTGTTGGCATAACAGAACCAGTGTGATTGTTCCCATAAATGTAAATCACTGTCCTCTTCCTGTCAGTTTTTATAAGCAAACTGTGATTTGCTTATAAAAACTGACTTGTCTCACTGTAAGTTTTCCATTTGAAACACACGATGGAAACAGAATGAATACCATGTACCTGCAGTAATGGGCACCAGTGTTTATAGCCCCTTCAAATGGACTGCTCCGTGTTTGTTTCAGACTCTGCACCAGCGTTGTCTTCTTTTTTTTCTGAAAGAAAACCATCTTAAAACATTTAACGTTGAATGGCATGCTGTTTCATTTAGGATGCACCTGCTTTGATATAATTTAATCTAAAAATGATCCCAAGCTAGTGTTGAAAGCCGTCATAAGGTCAGATGGTTGTACTTTTTTGGACCTAATAGTTGTACTTGCAGCTCTCCTGTTTGTCAGCTTTAATGGTGGTCTCGGTTGTGATTCTGGAACGTGCTGTATTAACTTCAGTGAGCTTCGGCTTCATCTCCCACTGGGACCAGCTGCCCTCAGATCAGTGAGTATTTCCTGGTACTGTAGGGAGCCTGACCGTAAACCATCAAATGTTATCACCACTATGGTTAAATCTTTAAACTAACAAGCTATGCAGTATTTCACCCATCTTCTTTGTTCTTCTCTAAACCCCACCAGAGTTTGATTTGACATGTTTGTATACTTTTTTGAGAATATGCAACCCCGATGGTGTTCCTCCCGGAGAGATCCTTGTTGAAACTTGACGGAGAGAGTTTCTCCTCCTGGAGTTTCTGTCCTGCTGATTCTGTTAAGGTGGATGCTCGTAACAGGATGTTTTTGACCCAAGTAGACAGCCAAAGATGTTTGAGAAGCATGCGTTTTCAGTCTGAACAACACCACTTCGTCATGCTGCTCTCAGTTGGAAGCATCAGCTACTTTTGAATTATTTTGTTTTTTTCTTTTTCCTTGAAAACTGTCAGAAAAACTAGTCTGAAGCCCAGTGACGGTCTAATGTCAGAAGCAAAAGGCGCATATCATGATATACCTTCTGCCTACAGAAACAAAGGAACTTTATGTGATATAAACTCCACCATGGTGGCTTCTTGTTTTCTCTATTTTGGTACGTGAAACTGGTCAGACATCCTGTTGCATGAGTGCATCCAGCTTTTAAACTGTCCTCTTGAATGCTTGACTGGAAGGACGGACCTTTTATCCCCTGTGTATTTGATTGTACAGAGATTTGTAAATAATGATAATAGTAATATTGATAATATGATATATTCTACACCAGCAATGTGTCTGTTGATAAAGTGGTTTTAACTGTTCGAGTGGTTCATGGAGCCCATTTTCCCAACAGCAACTTGGCACTTTATTGACAGTCCCAACGCAGACAGAAAACCTACCAAGCCCATTTTCCCTTTGTGTTATATGCACAGAACATGATTAATAGCATTATTGAGTTTAGAACTGAATGCATCCAGATTATTATAGTATTGATAATCTTGTTTTACATGTCGGATAAATGCTTTTCTAACTTTTCATTGACATTTTCTCATTGTTTACAGTCCATGTGGCTTAAAAATGGAAAAAAATGCTGATACTTAACTGATTGGTGGTTGAGAGATGCAGTAATTCGATCAGGCCTGTTCCTGCTGCTTTGGATGTTTTCTGTCTGCTGGTTTGAAGTGCCAGTTGTCCACCCGGTCTCCTCCGAGCCTTGTTAGTTTTGGGAAGCCCAGTGCTGGTTGTAAGTGTCTGTTGTGCTGCTGTTTTTAACTTTGGTTTGAAAAAAACAAGAAAGGAATTGAGAGGAAAAAATGAAAGTTTAAAAAAGAAAATCAGGCTCCCAGACTTGTGCAATGCGTATGTGCTGAAGTGAAGAGATTTTTTTTTCTAACAGAAATAAACTAAAACTGGATAAGATGTTTGTTTTTTTCTGGGTCTTTTTCTACTTGTGTGTAAAGAAGATAACAGGCAAATCTATAAGAAGAAAGAACAAATATGCATGCATGAAACCACAGTTCCAAGAAACTTTCCTCAAAATTGTGTGCATCTTAAAGATATAAAGAATTGTAAATGGAAATATTTCATTCACTGTATGCACAATGTTGTTTATAAAGTAAATGCAATTCTATAGAAAGTAGCTAATAACGACACAATGAAAAATAGTGTTTTTCTTACCACTAAGATGCATGTCAATTAGTGTTATCTTTCAGGTATGCTGGGGTCAGCCGCTTTAAGTCTGAGCAAAGGTTCCAGCTTTTCCGCCGATAGGTGCTGAGTGGATATAGGAATTTTAAAGGACATGACACAAAGAACTTCATCAGGAATGATTTCCTGTTCTAAATAACAAGTGGGTGAACATACTAACTAGTTTATGACAGCATGAAACTTTGCAGAAAAATGACTTCAGAAGATACCTGGTTAAACATACTTCTGCTCTCATTACATGTCTTCTGAAAACCAACAAGTATATTGATCTTTTCTTTCATATAAAGATGAGAAGGAACACAGATAAAATATATGGTTTGCACATATTTATTGATCATTCTACTGGTATGATGTCCACTCTCTGATGGACTGCCAGCTGTTACTTTTACCAAAAATACTTCACAGGTGAGGAGAGAAGCAAAATATGCGAATACAAATTTATATAGTTTTATGAAACATGGCAATGAATAACAGCATAAAATCTAATGTTGAAATCCGCGGTGATAGTTTGTTAAAACTGAGAAAACGTTGGGGACCTCTCCTCCTCCTCCCCTTGCTCCCGCCCCTGCTCCTTCTCCTCCTATCTATAGTTTGCAGGCTCATTTGTGTTGCACAGTCGCTGTAGGTGGCTGCAGGACAGGCGGCAGCTTGGAGACTTTCTGTGTCACATTTAATCAATAGGGCACCTTTGGCACGATGCCGTAAGGCTAACAGACACTCACTGTAAGTATAATAACACCTCTCACATTTTTTTTATTTATTCATTTATTTGGTAACGGCTTGGTTATCCTGCCACTTGTTTTCACCGTCTGTCTGTTTACCTTTACAGCTAAATCCTGTAATATCTAAGAGCTTTTAAATATATATTTTAAATCCAAAGAATAGTGAGAAATATTTCTGTAACTGTGCAAGTGCATTCATTGTCAACATGTATGTATTTCTTAGAATTATTTTCATATAGTTAATAGCTATTTCCATAATTATTAAGTAAGTATTTATGATAAATAGTCATTCAAAGTTGTTCTAAATGACCCTTGGATCATTTTAAACCATTTCTAAATAACCTGGACATGATGAGACCCAACAGGGGGGTTTTTGATCAGAGAAAAATCTGCTGTGCTGCTTTCAGTTGCTCTCTGTCATTTGATATTGTAGATTTCTGTCGGTGATGGACACATGCTGTCAGTCAACCCACACGCAGGCAAACTTTGCAGCATGTCACTTTTGTACAGATAAGCGTTCAGAGAAACAAGTGAGCAGGCAAAAGATGCAATGAGACCTTTGGACAGGAACATGAAGCTTTCAACAGAGCTTGAAAGCTTATTTACTCTCCTGTCAGGTTATAAATATGACTGCCTGTATCTTTTATTTCTGTATTTAATCCCAAAAAGAACCCTGTGATTTAAAGGTAAGTGTCTTGCCTGTTCAGCTTGTTTGTCAACATAGATATAGCAAAAGAAGGTTAAAAAACGGCTGATCTGGTGTGAATGCCTGAGCTTTTCTCACTAAAAACTGCTTCACCGTTAATTTGCACTAATAAGCGTCTGAGATATGTCAAACAACTGAACAGTGGGGATGAAAACCTTTGACTGGGATTCTAAAATGCCGACAGCCACAAAATGACAGTTAGTGTTTTATTGATCTATGACAACAGCAGGGTGAATCCTGCTGACCATGACTTATGCTGAAAGTAGAAATTCAAGAAGATGTGTTTCTTTGAAATGGGTATTTGCATGTGCCCCCAGTTTTTCTTGGATATGACAAAGTCTGCACATTGTCTTTTTATCGATATTTTTCATAGGGGGGCAATCTGATCCTCAGAGAATGTACATTATAATCAGCAGCTTAAATGCTTTATTTTGTCAGAATCGACAATAACATGTTCACTTTTTAACAAAGTCAGCACTCCCATCTGAACTTAGTTGGACTCTAAAAAGTTTTTTTTTTAAGTCTGTTGTTTAATTGTTGCAGATTATGCCTGAATGAGAAAAGAGAAAAACAGAGATGGTACCCATGTGCAGTTTCTGCTGTGAGGAACAGAGATAATGAGAGTTACTGACAACAGACTTTACATGTTAGCTTGATAAGACTTCTATTGCCGTTCGCTTTCACTTGTGATAGCAGTTGTTTGGTGCCTTTTTTTTACATGGGAGAGTAAAAATAAAAGAAGCTCTCACCGTGAGGCATGAATGCAGACGTTTTACTTTTTGAGATGGAAATAGGTGGGTGGGCTCAGTGATGTCAACGATGAATGTTTTTCAATGTGTCGGACTATTGTCTGATGCCAGTAGGTTGCCTTTTTGTGTGCCAAACCATTACCTTTGTTCAAACAGATCCCCATTGTTGCAAATGCGAATGGAGAAGCCCGAAGTACAGATTAGTCATTTACAGCATAGCTTATCCTTAAATGTATTTAATGGCACGGTCTCCCTGAAATGCTGGTGGATTTGCAGGTGATTACAATTTAAATGTTCCATGCAGAATTAAGAATATGTGAACACTTTAAGAGAACTACTGCCATTTTACATGTATATGATGATGATAGTTTCACTCTAGTTTCAATGTTTCTTTGTTGTTGTTTTTTCGCAGTGGCACAGGAAGTTGAGGTGGAAGAAGGAGCAAAAAGGGCAATCTTGACTAACTAAATCCAGCCAATGACAAGGGGTGGCAGAACAACTTTGAACAGCCCAACATCCACCGGTGAATGTGTGAAATGATGGCAGTCACCAGGGCAGAGAGGTTTGAGGGAGGCCGGAGGGGGTCTGGAGCCGTAAGACCACCAGAAGGTGGATGGGGCTGGATGATCGTCATTAGCTGTTTCCTCTCCACCATCTGCATCCGGGCTGTGACCAGGTGAGGGATGGTGTATCTGTGTGTATCCGTCTGCAAATGCACACTGAAAAGTTCTCACACTGTGCTTCACTGCCAGCTGAACGGTTGATTTAAGCAGCTCTCTGCAAAACAAGTCAGCCAGAAAGCATGTGCAATTGTGCTTTATGTTGACTTTGCCATATTTCCTCATACTGAAGAATATATAGACAGGTACAGGATGTTATTTAAAGCTCAGAAGGAAAAAATATATAAACAAAAATGAAATATTCTATTAATTACTTTAAATATTCTTTGCCTTAAGATAGAACATTTGTTTTCATGCCCCATGTTATTATTCTAACTGTCATTTCATGGCTGTTGGGGTTTTATAATTCCAGTCCTTTATCCCCCCCGTTCAGCTGTTTAACATATCTTAGATGCATATTAGTGCAAATTAACGGTGAGGCAGTTTTAAATTAGAAAAGCTTGAGCTTTTTTTAACCTTCGTTCGCTGTTTCTATGCTGACAAAAAAGCTGAACAGACAAGAGACTTTCCCTTTGAATCAGAGAGTTCTTTTAAACTTTAATATTCTTTGCCTTAAGATAGCACATTTGTTTTCATGCCCCATGTTCTGCTTTCTCATAAAGAGAGAACACACATACAAAAACAGAACCCTAAAATCATTTGTCGGTATAATTTGGTTTTCAATGTCCTGGTCAAAGCTCACATTTTGTCTGAGGTCAAGAGACAGAGGAGTCATTACTTTTATTATGTAACAAAAAAAGTAGTCATAAAAAGAAAAAAAGGCCGTGGAGGGCATAGACTTTAGATAACTAGATAACACTGGCTGCCATAAATTGATGTTCATCTTATTCAGGTCAGTTTTTTAACCAGTGGTTTGGAATTTACCCAAAATTTGACTTCAACTGGGTCATTCTGTACTGCAGAAGGCAGGAGATTAAAGTAATTTCTCGACAGTAAAAAATCATAAAGAAATCTACTATCACCACTTTATGGGCTGGACTTTTATGCGATTACTGCTATAGACCAAGAATGCTCGTACTTTTAAGGTTTTAATCAGCTGTATGCAATAAAAATTAATTGGATTAAGAAAGTGGTGAAATTGCCAAAACCCAAAGAGATGTGTCTCAGGCCTCAGGCCCCCATTTGCATATTTATTTTTAAAAGGCTATTGTTATATAAGCATACCAGAGATCTTTGTGAAGAGTTTGGTTTGCTGGAGATTTAATACTTGTTCACCCATGAGCAAACAATAGATGTTTCATAAAATAAGCGGCATGTTGCAGCTGATATTCCAGATAGTTCACAGGGATGGAAAATTTGCACAAGAATTTCAGAATTCATACTGTTGAAAATTGTTGTTGCAAATTCCTCCTCCTCTGAAGATCTCCAGAACATTTCAGGACTTTAGTGCATGTCGAAATAGTTTCGACCCCTTATTCTCAGTTGAATAAATGGCACATTCTATCATTTAATCTGTGGTGGTGCTACTACTATTAGACCTGATGAAGACCTTTTTATTATTATTATGTGCTGGTATGTATAGCAAATGGAAATGCTACTCATGAAGCTGTGGTTGTCGATAAACTGAAAAATTAATGTAAATTCTTCTTCTTTTTTGCCTATTCTTAGTCATTTTGAGCCATTGCTTAACCATGCCCCCCTTTATATCTGAATGCAGATGTGTGTCCATGTTCTTTGTGGAGTTCCAGCTGCACTTTGAGAGGGATTACTCCACCACTGCTTGGATCCACAGTCTTATTGACTCCACCACCATGCTCTGTGGTGAGTTTATACCAGAACTAGGGGGCATATTGATATTCTGGGCCACTGTTACACCAGTTTCAGTTGACTGAAATCTTCTTGTTTAAGTTAATCGATAACAGACTATATGGAAAACAATAAGCCAGCATCAAATACATTCCGCATGCTTACAGTAACATAGTGTAGGGGTAGTATAATGCACAAGTTGAGGTAAAGTTGGACATAGGAAAATAGTTTCTGTCTGCATCACTGCATCAAATCTAACTAATATGCACAAAATTTGTTTTAAGCTCCCCTTGGCAGTTACCTTGGCAACCGCATGTCCTGCAGAGCGACGGTCATTCTGGGTGGCCTGCTGTCTTCTGCTGGCCTGGTCCTCAGCTCCTTCGCCTCTAGTCTGGAATTCCTCTACATTTCTATGGGTGTCCTCACAGGTAAACGCAGGCATGCCGCCTTCCATGACCCGTGATTATCTGTCCAAACGGTGCATCAGCACTTTTACATTTGGAAGAATTGTCTCACCTGTATGAATCCAAAACAGAAGATGAAGTTAAAACCGATAAATTTCTGACTTGACGGAAGTTAAACTATGAGTTGTATTTTTTTTATTTTTTTTTGCATGTTTCACTTTTCTGTGTTCTGCTGTGCTCAACCACAAATTTTAAGTCAAATCTGGCATTTGTTTAGCAGCTTTTGCCAAAGTCCAAACCCCCTTTACCCGTCCCCTACAGGTCTTGGCTTTGCTCTCAGCTACACACCAGCCATAGCCATGGTTGGGACGTACTTCGTTGAGAGAAAAGCTCTGGCCTATGGCATCGCCCTGTCTGGTACAAAGTTTGATTTACCGCTTTCTCATCTCTTCTCCCCCCTTTTTCATACTCATCAACTTACCAGCCCTCATTTATTGCTTGCTTCCACGCTCTTTGTAGCTTTTCTTCAAGTTACTCTTCCCTATATTTCTTATTCTCTTCTCATCTTTTTCCATCCCATCAAATCCAATTTCACCTTGTCTTCAGGCAGTGGCATCGGGACTTTCCTTCTGGCTCCTACAGTTCAGATGCTTATAGAGTATTACTCCTGGAGAGGAGCTCTGCTCATCCTCGGGGGATTTGTTTCCAACCTGTGTGTTTGTGGTGCTCTGATGAGGCAGCTGGAACCAGAAAGAGAGGAAAGGTCAGCCATTTTTTTTCAGTTTTATCAATGCTACAAATAAATGTTATTTCTCCCTTTATCATTTTTATCATTCATTCTTAAAAATAGTTTAAACAAATTTAAATGAAAGTTGAAATATATTTAATCTTGTGTTTATTATCAATATCTGAAGAGCAGAACCTGCTGGTTGATGCATTATCCACATTATCTTTATTCTGGCCAACAGAGGAGGCTAGATGCTCACTAATGCAGCTTATGTAGGAGAACAAAGTGAGAAGAAGAAGAACTCAAGGATATCCACATTTTGAGCTCAGAAATAAAACATTTTGAAACATTTTTTACACATTTTCAAATGAGGTTCAGGTGCCAATATAATATAGTATAATAATAATAATAATAATAATAATAATAATAATAATAATAATAATTAGGAGATGACCACATTTCATTGGAAGATTCCAAACTAATTCCATCAAGATGATGTGCTAAAATAGAATGTTTTTTTTTAAGCCTCTCTATTGAATTATACTGAGCTAAGGGGATTTCAGTGTTCTGCCTTCAGAGCTTAAGGGAAACAGGGAATTGTGTTTTAATGCAGAAAGGGATGGAGGGTTTTAACCTGTCCTTTATAGTCTGAATTACACACATTCATTTGCATTGTTTAATCTGCAGGACATGGGAGAAAAATATGAAAGGAATGGAGAAAGCCTTAATGCTGACGGTTCTGCAAACTAAAGCCACTCAACAAGTGACCTCTGACTTCCGCCAGGAGGACCCCGAGCACCGTGACATGAACAATTTAAAGGACATAGGGGGTCTGGTCATCGCCAACGGAGTGTTTGAACATTCTGGACATGAAAGCAACAAACTTCAGGAGAAAATAATACTGGTACCAAACCCAAGGCTGCCTAATCAGAAGTTAACAGACATGAAGATAGCTGAATGCATCTTACTCAGCAACAAGCTGTCTGAGACTGTGCTCGGTGAGACTGGAGAGTCCGATCCGAAAATGGTGGAAAGCATGAACATTACCAACACGTTGGCAGATGTGAATGAAACAAGAGATGATTCAGGCTTTAGTCAAATCAAGGCAAAAGATGACCACGAGAGAACTGTTCATACAGAACCACCGGTCAACACACAACCTCCATCCAGATGTCAGCCTTCTTGTCTTGAGACCAGCAAGGAGTTTGGCTTCCTTTTTATGCCCAACTTCCTGATACTGTCAGTGTCCTTCCTGTTTCTGGCGTACGGCTGCAGCGCTCCGGTAGTTTACCTGGTTCCCTACGCCCTCAGCAAGGGAGTGGAGCATCGACATGCCGCCTTCCTCATGTCCATATTTGGCGTGAGTGGTATCGTTGGCAACATCACCTTTGGATGGATCACAGACAGGAAGTAAGTTGGAGATGGAGCTTTTGTCTGCTGCATACCTTTCATCTTATGAATCGTAGTGAACAGTGAAGGGTGTTTCTCGCCTCCAGGAGTCTGAAGAGGTACCGGGTGCTCAGCTACATGGTGGCCATAGGCATGGAGGGCCTCTGCTGTTTGTTCCTGCCTTTCCTCCACACTTTTCCCCTCTTGGTACCATTTTCTGCTCTTTATGGGTACTTTGACGGGGCATACGTGGCACTAATACCTGTTGTAACCTCCGACATTGTGGGCTCCACCTATCTCACCTCAGCGCTGGGTGTAGTCTATTTCCTGCATGCTATCCCATACCTCATCAGCCCACCAATAGGAGGTAAGGGTTTCATGTTGCAGTTTTATATGTCTTTATGATGATTGCTGTCTCAAGCCTTTTTTTAACCAAAAAAACAAATCAAAATGACAGCTGAAGCAGAATGGAAATGTACTAGCTTCACTGAAAAAGGAAAATAATGCTCTGTATTTGTATTGATATGTTTATAACAGTCTTAAGGTGATCAACCTTATTTCTTATCCATTATGTTCTCTATTTTAGCCTCAGATAGTCTCAGTTCATAGACCAAAATCCAACGTCATTGATCTATGAACTAAAGAAAACATAGAAGTTTAATTGTTCTTTAACATAGTGTCTGTTACTTTTTCTCCAGGTTGGTTAGTAGATCAAACGGGACACTACACAGCAACCTTCTTCCTGAGCGGCGCTTCCTTCATCCTCAGCTCTCTGATTCTGGCTGCTGCCTCCCTCATCAGACACGCCTCCACGAGACGTCACAGCGGCCAGGAGGAAGACCAGTCCCAGCGAAACACCAACCCGTCAGAGCTTGTGCCTTTTTTCACAAAACAAATGTCTCTACGCACATAAAATAAACAGTATTCTTTTTTTCCAAATTGGTTCTTTGATTTTATTATTTGGTTCTTTCTTGAGTGCAAAATTTGTGGAGTATTTGAGGAAATTTGGTGACTTTTGAGTAGGTTTTCTGTAAAACTGACCTTCAGATTCAAAGCAGATGTGTGGTGACGAGTGTTAAATTTGAAACATCCTTTGAAAAAACCTTTTGCTCATTTCACAAACGTCTATTCGATTACTGGTGGGTCCAGACTGTTTCAATCTGCGTGTGGTCAGCTGTATCAGCACGCTGAGTTTTGAGTTAAAGAACATGTCCTACAGCACCTCAGCAGCTGCTAAAGTGTAGTTTTTCTGTTGAATCAAGTCAAGCTATGACTGTTTGGAAAATAAAGTAGTAAAACCTTTCCACAGTGACATTTTAAGAGGCAAAAAATATTTTAAAAGAAAGAAATTAGTATTTGCATTTGCTCATCTGCTGAGGTATTAAGAGAAGAAGACATGCCCAAGTTACCCCCCATTGATACGTAACTGCTAAAAGTGAAAATTACTCTGCTGTATTATAGTAAATCATACATTTTTTTACCAAAATGCCATCTTCAGGTGCCAGATCAATCAAAATTACAAAATCACTTCACTTTTAGAGGTGATGAAAGAGGAAAATGATGACTGAAAAAGAAGAAACTAAATCTAAATTTTTTTTACTCGTCCAGTACCTGTGTTTTCACCTTAACACTGGAGGAACTTCGGCGGGGGGAAGTGGGCATACTTTACCACGGAGGGGGGGGAAGACATGTGTGCAGCTTCTCTCCTGAAGCTGTTTGATATATTCAGTGTTTAAAGTTTTGCATCAAGTTTTTAAAAGCAATGATCTCCCACCAACAGAATCACGTCAGACCCCCAAAGAAGAAGTTAAAGGTTCCAGAAAAAGAAAAAAAATCTTTAAATGTCTCCTTCAAATCGTCCACATGTGAGATTAGTCCTCCAAATTTGTTGTCGACAAACAAAAGTTTGGCTGAATGGCTGTAAGAATGGTCAAACACGAAGGAGGGACGGTTTGTTTAGATCTTTTTGAGTTTGTAGTGCAATAGGGAAAGTCCATTCAGAGAGCTATTCTTTGGGGAAGCGCTGGGTTTAAATGTGTCAATACAAAGTGTGTGGTTTTATGGCAGCGCATGTGTGCCTGAGCATTCAGCGGGGTGTGTGTTCACCAAAGAGAACATCCCGTTCTGAGGGCATCCACCCCCACACGGGGAGCCCTGCTTTTTTCCACTGCTGCAAACACCGCTGTGTGTTTTCTCTGCATCCTCAGGCTAACGCCGGTCTGCACCGATGCACCTTCCAAGGGTCCAGACATTTGGGTTTGCCCATAACCTTAATCTCCCTTGTTTGGGTTTATCTAATATTTAGTTTGTATGAGTTAAAGGGGAGTCGTCACAAAAATTGGCCTAAACTGAAATAAGTCACTTTCAGTTCCTCCAAATGTTTAGTAAGTAAGAGCATCATGCACGACACCAAAGCTAAAGGACCGAGTCAAAATGAAAAAAGAAGTTTCAATATCAGTAAACGAACACGAACAATGCCTTCTGTATAGGTATTTTGATCTTACAGTCATCAAAGCCTGCGTTGCGCTGGCAGCCACACTGTGAAGCGACTGAATCGCTGTATGTTTTGAGATTGGATTTGAACATTATATAGTCTGTTGTGGTCTGTTTGTAGACACCTTCAGTGATGTTTTCTGTGCTCATGAGCTGATGAGGTGGTTTCCAGTGCACATTAAGTTGTTTTCGTTCGCAATCTAGCAATGAGACTGCAAGATTGGACAGATTTAGGAAGAAAAACTTTATCAGAAAGAGTTTTCTGAGGCATTCATTTGTTTTTCCTGTCAATAACTAATTTGAGAGTTGGTTTAGTTAGAATTAGTGAGTGTCATTACATTCAGATCCAGCTCTTTCATCTGTCTTCTGGTATCAAAAACCCAGAATTCAAGCAACTTTTTGATAAGATCTGTGTTAAATGTCTGTTTAAGATTGCACTCTATAGCACACACCCAGACCACATCAATTCTCCCATCATGTTTTTGAGGAGGAAAATGATGTTTAGACTAGATGTAGAGATATATTTGTTTGGTTGTTTTTTCAGATGGGATGTTTTGACATAATAAACCTCAACAGGATTCAGTTCAGTGACTTTTGAGGCAAAGTTAAGCCCAATTTCACTGTGTTTGTTACTTTAAAACCCCACTATTGTTCCTGTGGTGTTTAACTTTCTTTAAAAAAGTGTATCTTGTCTTATCCTGAACTGTTGCTATGATAAATATGATACATGTGTTCAAATTTTGTGCTATGTAAAGTAGGAAGGCCGTTTAGAAGTGGGGTCAGTAATTTCGCAGGTACAGGTACAGGGAATACTCCTCATGCGCTGTTGTGTATCTTATTTAAATATACCCAAGTATATTTAACTTTATTCTAATTCAGGTAAATGTTTGCAGTTTCCTGTTTGCTTAATATAGCTGAATTGAGATGCTCAAAAATAATCTGAACGTCTTTGCAAGCGTGCTTTTGATCAAGCACTGTGAAGCCTGTGTGTGTTTCAGACTGAAGTTTCCACTGTGTAGGTGGATGCGTGGGAGGCAGGCGGAGGAGGGGTTTCCTCTGAGGTCGGCATCCCCGAACACAGAAATAAAAAGGACTTCCCCCCCGTAACTATAAACACACACATACACAAACACACACACGCACAAATTGCATTGCACAAATGTGAATAATTCTTCTTCTGTCTCGACCATATTGTTCAGGCTCATCTTTTCAGTCCCTACATAAGGCAGCCGTAAAGTGTGAGCTGTACTGGCCCTGATAGGTCCTGACAAAGACTGAAGATCCACATAGGAAGCACATTCAAATTCTTTAAAAAATGGTGATGAATTTAGATAATATTTAAATCTGCCTTCATAAAACTCAGTGAGTGCTACAAACCTTTGTGAGTCTTGTGTACTGCTTTTGAATATGTATTTTTCTTATCATCTGGCCACCTTAGTCAACGAATTGTCAAATGTCCTTTTTCCTGAGAATCAGAACGTTATATTTTATATAATTTATACATCATATTTGCATCTTTCTACAGGAGTGTTTAGCAAAAAGGCCTGTCAAGCGTGTCTTATTGAAGATATGGTTTCTTAAAAAGTTTTGTGGCTACATGCTTGACGTTGTAGCCTAATAAAAATAAATAGAAAGAAACTATTTGGAGCAGGTTATGGGCAGAAAACATGAAAAACGCAGGTGTGGCTTTTTCCAGAGTTGAAAAGTTACCAAAGTGATGCAACAGGTGAGTATTCTGAATGGTTGTAATTTCTAACTTTGCCTCTGGGTGTCAGTAATATTTTCTAATTTACCATAAAACATAATACATTTCAAATAGATACACTGTTCATCTTTTTCTCTTCTTTTACTAGCCTAATCACAGATGCTTTAGAACTACACAGCAGCAGTGCTGATGTCAGCAGGAAATGGGGATCTCATGATTTGTCGCGCGCTCACATGCACACCAGCACTCTCAAGACACCTGCGCCGATGGTTTACACGAGATTGACTCTCTGATAAACTCTTGTCAAGCTGCAGCCAGGTGCATAATGCCACTGTATGTACATATGAGTGTGTGTGTTTTACCACATCACTCACACACGAGTGTCTGTGGGTTGACAAGCACTGTGCAAAACACAAGTTACTCCAGAGGAAATGCAGATGAAAAGTTTAGACTTCCACACTTAACCCAAAAGTGTATGTTTCCTCCTGATGTCTTCAGTCTTATTAATCTCATTACATGTAGGCAGCTGTCATATTTCCTCTAAAAACCCTGTTCAGGAGGTCAAAGAACGGACAACGCTGAACTGTGAATGAGGTAGAGAGTGTAGAGCAAAGATACCTATGTCTATGATTTTATGTACGATTTATTCTTGTACGTTTTCAAATAAACTGAAAATATGAAGCTTTAATTACAGTACCTTTCCCCTGTTTAAAGACACAATATTCTTAATCCTGAGAATGCGTGTGATTTATGTCTGTGTAAAATGAGTTAAATGAATGCTTTGTATGACACTGGATGAGCTACCGGCTTAAATATAACACACAAAACAAATTAAACGGTATGGTGACGTGTTCATAATATCATTTATGGCACATGTATTGCACAAAAATGCACTTACTTTTAAGCAGAATCCCACAGACATCAGCTTGATTTTGATTGAGTTTGATTACATTTGTGTAGAACTTTGTGAGATCACATCTGTCCTCTGCTCATCACACACATGAAAATACACTAAACCACACACACCAGCTGCATTGAACTAAAAATAAGCATCTGGCATGACAACTAATTATCCTTTACCGTGCAGTGCATTGGTGCTCAAGGGAATCAGTCCCAGATTCAGGAAGTGTTACAACTTAGATATTTACAAAGGCTTTCTCTAACACTAAATAGCTTGAATCATTTGCCCCCCTGACTGTGTTTCCATTAAGTCATCAAGCACTCTTGAGGCCAGTTTGAACGATTTGAGCTTCACCTTTGAAGTGCAACCCAGTTGGGTTTAAAACTAGTGAGGCTGTAACAGCAAAAAGTGCTGTGTCATCATTGGATTGTGACGCAAACGCAACACAAATATGACACAGTGATGATATACCTGAACTTTGTTGTTTCTGCTGGGCCATATTTGCTGTGCAGAAGTTGAGTTGAGTGACTTATTTCCCATCATGAACCAAATTATATGATAACAGCTTCACTTTCACTGTTGAGTTTGATCTTCTGAGGTCTTTTAAAAACCTTGATGAAGGCCTCAGGGTGTTTTATCACTTTGTGACAAAAAGTCAAATTTTGTTTTCTCATTCAGATAACATTTTTAATTCCTTTGGTGTGTTCTGGGTCTTCCTCGAGATCTCTTTCTTTTTAGAGACATTCTCCGAAGTGAGGCGTTGTTGAGGCATTTAAACCAGATACCCAAACAACTTCGGCAAATTTCATTTTGATGTGGAGGAGCCATGGCTCCCCCCAGACGGTCGAGCTCCTCACCCTTTCTTTCAGGGTGCGCCACAGGATGCAAAGTTGCATCT